TGCTCTAATCAGACAGACAGACATCATGGGAGGAAGTTTGAAAAAGAAATAAACTTTAACTGGATCAAAGCAGTGAAGAAGAAATCAGACTTTAGCCTGAAGATCCTCAGTGTGGATCAGTAGAATATCAGCCACATGTCTGCAGTTTAGAGTCAACACAACTTTACCATCAGAAATATCAGCACTAAACTAAAACATGGTGACTGACCTCAATGTCTGTAGTTTGCAGAGGGGAGACTGGAGAAAACCACAGAGCTGCTTCACTCCATCATCTTTCAGGTCTTTGTTCCACATCAGTTCCAGTTCTGTCAGATGGGAGGGGTTGTTCTTCAGAGCTGAGACCAGAGAAGCACAGCTGATCTCTGATATACTGCCGCTATTTAACCTGAATAAAGAATAAAAGACGTGTTGAAGCGACTGGAGAGACAGGTTAAAACTAAAATAATGAATAAATAATGAATAAAAATATTTGACTGAAAGCTAAAGTCCCATAAAAACGATCAAGTTAAAATATTAAACCAAGCAGAAGCAGAACATGTTCTAATGACGGGTGAAGGTCCATATCAAGGTGTGTTTATTAGTCTCCTCCAGGAGAAATCTGTGTTGGACAAAGAGCAGAGCTGCAACACAATCCAGAACCAGAACAACACAAGCAGCATCAACTGCAGGAAGAAATAGATGAGAAAAAGTTCAGAGGAAAAGTCTTCAAACACATCCCAGCATTGGATGGGCTGGACTCACACAGCAGGCGAATGTAACACAAATCTTTTTCATGTCTGAACGGCCCGGTTCTGATCGGTTTACATAAAAATAAGACCCCATTAGTGCGACGTCCATATGTGAACTGAATGGGATCCAGTATCAGAGCTAATGGTTTAAAAAAGCTCAATACCAGCCAAAGAAGAGAGGCTGGAGAGCAGGATCAGAGGTTTGCTGCAGGCAGAAACAGGTCCTCTTTACTACTGAAAATATTGGGTTATATCAGATCATCAGAACCAAGATGGAGGAACTCTGAATCAGCTCTAAGGTTCCTGATGAGTCCCCTGATGAAGCATCATTGGCTCACAGAGACATGGCTCCAACCCTCTCTGACAGCTGTCAGATTAAAGAGGACAGGTTCTCTCTGACCCGGTCCAACAGAACAGCAGCTTCAGGACAAAGCTGAGGAGGAGGAACCTGCTGCTGCCATCAGGGTTTTATTGCTTTTATTTTTCCTTTTTTTTTTATACTCTTTATTTAACATGTTTAATTACAATGAAACATACGACACACACAGAACCTGGGGCACTGATTCATAGTTAAATGGGGAAAAATAAAAAAAAAGAAAACATGAAAAATGTTACACCTCGTTATGCTTCCTGCCTGTTGTATTTCAGCCATTTAGACCAACTTTTGCTGTGGGAATGTCCTTTTATATATTAAAGATATGCCAGTTTTTCCATAGAGTGAATCTCCTTCATGACTTCCCACCAATGGTCTAGCTGGGGAGGGAGTTTCTTTAGCCAAGATCGTGTAATAGCTATTTTGCTTTCAGTTGATAGAACTTTTTAAAGACACTCATCTTCTTTCTGAAGCATTTCTCCAGATATCAGCCCCAGCAGAGAAATTCTAACCTCTTTGGGGATAATATATCGCAACATTTTCTTGGTGGTCTGACAGATTCCATCCCAGTAAGGTGCCGACTTTTGGCAGGACCAAAATACATGAGAGTGATTGATGTTCTGATGGCCTCAATCTCTCCTACATTGCTGTTCGTCTCCTCTATGTCTACTAATATTCTAGGGTGTAATAAAATATCTAATTAAACAATTACATTCAAATTCCTTCCATCTTTTAGAACTAGTAGATGTCTGTTGTCTCATACACATTGAAAGTCAATCACTCTCCGTAAATTTCCTTTCCCATTTCGACTTAATATTTATGGTGTTATTTCCATTATATTTCTGCAAAATTAAATATAGTTTGGATAGTTTTGCATGGGAGGAGGGTATAAGCATTTGCAATATATATATATGCAATTTTTACAATAGTATTACCTTCTGGAGGAACAGCTGGAGGAACAGCTTTTCTTTATTTTGGTATTGTAAAAAGGTCTTACCTGAAAATATTTAAATTAATCTGTATTCTCATGACTATAATCTATTTTTCATTTGCTCAAATTATTTAAATCAGTTACTTTCTACAAACTGGCACAAAGCCACAAGTCTTCCAGTAAAAAAAAGAAGTATCTAATGTTAGTCTTTTGTTTAAGTTCAATTATATGCCAGCCCACTAGGGGGCTCTGCAGGATAGGCTACGGCTCCTCTGTTCGGCTTGGGTGTTAACTGTAGGATGTTGGCTGCATGTTTTTGGTGGAGAAAAACAAATAAAAGTTCTCCTGAACTCATGTCAAAGTGGAGTTAACTTTGGGCTAACATCTAATTCTCCTGCATTAAAGTTTGAGTTACAGCAGTGCCACATCAGGAGTCCAGTGACATCTGCCAATTTGTACCCGTCAACCACTTCTTTTCAGATTAACAAAGTGTCTTCAACTATTCTAATCCCATTTTTGTCTGCAACTATTTTACCTTCCAGACGTGTTTGGGGTAGAATCCCACCCTGCCTAAGTTCAATCTGTTTCCTTCCAGTTTCTATTTCCTAGGAGCACCAGCAGATCGTAAATCTCATCTGAAATGAGAAACTAATAGTATTCCCTCATATTTGAAAGGGCCAGATCCCTTTGGTTAATATGGAATGTTTTAAATTTAATCCTTTGTCTGGTCCCAGACTTAATAAATCTTGACATCAACCTGTACCAGGCATGAAACTGTGTGCTAGATATTCTAATAGGCAATGACTTTAAAGGATTTAAAAACTGAGGAAGCTGACTGGGGCTCCAGCTGACCCCATTCTCCCCTTCAGTCTTGACACGGATGAAAGTGGGGTGGGGGGTGACCTTTCTCAGGTGGGCCCAGAGGGGGAGAGAGTGGTGGGTTACTTCAAGAGGGCCTTTAAAAAAGTAGAAAAGCGTTACTGTGTGTCAATGCCAGAGTCGATGGTGGTGATACTTTCACTGGCCACTTCAAGTATTAGCTGTGTGGCCTGCCTTTCACTTAGAGAACTGATCACTCTGATCTCCAGTGGCTGATGTCCCTTAAAGAACCTGAGTGTCCCTCAAAGTTAAACTTTGAGGGACGGCAGCAGAATACGCCATAAGATGTTCTTATTCTTAGGTCAGAGGTGTCGAGGTCTTCAGAGAGATCTCCCTATTATCCCAGGTTGGCTTACAGCAGAACAGTAACTGGTTTGCTGTTGACTAGAGTTAAATTACCTGTAGATAAATAGACTGAAAAGCGGCCATTTTACCATTGACCCAGTTACAGGAGGTTCGGTAAAGATGGGCAGGCAATCTGGGCAGGCTAATGATCTGTCCTTCTCTCAGTTCCTTTCAGAATGTTGGTAACTTTGACTCACAGTTTTCCATGAGCTCATGACGGGTTGACCCTTTCCTAGACCACAGAACCGACAAGACCACTGACCTCTGGCCAGACTGGGACTGACAGGTGACACATTAAAATGACCTACAAGACCTTTTTTCCCTTAGAGATGACTTTACAGAGGAACCAAGGTTCCTGGAGATCCTGATGGAGGACCATCTTAGCCATCCTTCCATCCTTCAGCAGGAGGAGGTGTCGCTCAAAGGCATCAAAAAAAGCGATCTGAGCTCATCTGACCTCATCAGGAAGGAACCAGGAAGAGCTTCAACAAAACAACTCAGAATAAAGGGGCAGAATAATCCCCTCTGGTTGGTTAATGAACACATCAGTAGTCCACCTGATGTGTTGAGGACCAGCTGCTCTGCAGACAACGTTCAAAATGTCGCCTGTATAAGGGACCAACATCAACAGAAAGATGAAGACGCCCATCTGAAGATGTCTGACATCAGTTTTGGCTTTTTGATTATTTAATTATACAACATGAATGAGAAGTGAAATGTGTTGTGATGTGTTGGATTTCAATGAAAGGTGAACATTTTCAGTATCTGAGTGTTTGATATTAGTTTCTGAATACAAAGAAAGTCCAAGTGTTAGATGAGCAGCTGATGGTCAGTATTGGCAGAGATTTCTGGATTAGAGAATGAACTCTGATGACCGGGTCATCTCAGCTACCATTGGGAAAGAGGAGCGCTGAGATTAAATCCTCCAACTTTTCAATGTGTGCTTTGACTGACCCTGATTCTGAAGAGCTGAACTCGTCATCTGTGTGAAACATCTTTGTGTTATGATTTTAACATTTTGCAGAGATTGATCTTTTTTTACTCATGATGAGGTTTCTTGAATTTAGGAGCTCAGGTTAATCATTTCACGTGTATTTTGTAGACATGAAGGAGTCTATTTTTCGACTAATTTGACCTTTTCTCTTTCCAGGGAAACAAAAAGGTAATAATGATAATGATAAAAAACAAAAAATAATATTTTTTTAAATTCTCAGCAAATAGATCTTTTACCTTGAAAAGTATCATCGTGGGGAAAAACAGTTTAATGTTTTTGCCAACTAGGATGTGATTCCAGGGCTCTATTTATTGGCAACATATTTAAGCTTTCATAGTGTTTCCATTATTTTTCCATCAATTATAATATTTATATATATATATAACTTTTTTTTAATTACAAATTTAGTTTCCATGTTTTTAGTTTTCTTTCACAATTATGGTTTATTAGTTATTATCTTTCTTTACATACATTCACAAATTTTCCTTTTTTATTATCGATTACATAAGGATAATATCCTTTTATAATCAAAAGGGTGGAACTGTGGTCAGAATATTTAGATTTCTCTTATTTCATATATTTAATGATGCCGTTTATCCAGCGAAAATGTGTGGTTATTCTTTTGTTTTGACTCTGACAACCTTCATAGTTTTTTCATCATTATAAGTAAGGGAGAAAAACTCTGTCTAGATCAGAACATTACTGTGCAATAAGGGGCATATGATGAACTGTTCTCTCTTTGCAAAGATAGGAAAATAAAGTGCCGACTGGGTGAAATCTGTCTATCTCTGTTAGGACCCCTTCCAAATAGGTGTGTCTTGGCCCCCATTGGAGCTGGGAACAGTAAAAAACCACTGCACAGAGGATTTAACTCTCTTTCTGTGAAGCTGTCCAGGGTTTCACATCGGAAGAGGCAACAAACATGGAGACGCCGGCTCAAGGCCCAGATCTCACAAATGAACAGAGCTACGTCATGAGGATTGACATTCCATAACCGAACTGCTGCAAAACAGGTCATTTGCAACACATATCTCTGAGTTTCAGAACTGTGAAAGCCACAGTGTGAGCCAGATGGGACAAAGGACCCCCCCACACCCACCCACCCACACCGCCACCCCCCCTCTTGCTTTGAGCCTGCCCTGCTAAGCTGCTGCTGGATGAAAACTAAAAACTTCCAAATGGACATGGAAAGAGGTTTGCTGGTCTGGCACCGTTAGGGACAGAACAAACAAAATGTCTTTGATGATTTTGATAATTTCATGTGTTCACTGATGAATAAAGACAAGGTTAACAGGACGGACCGCATGGAATATGTGTTGAGCTGTTGTTGAAGCTTGGACAAGCTTTATTCACTAAGGGTTTAAACACTGATATAACATTAGTGTTCATGTGTTCCTCAGATTCTCATTACATTTCCATTACCAAGTCTGACCAAGAGTCATTTAAGGGAATCCTGATGTCTATTCGCTGCTAGCTATTTCAGAGAAGGTGAAGAATCATCAAGTGGGATTGCTTATCCATTCCCACTTATTGTTTTTCACTTAAAATTTTTCTGACTCTAACTAGTCCCGCAGTTTTCAACCGATTTCAACAATTTTGGTATCAAAACGTTCAGCTTGTTCAGGAGAATTATGCTATGTCTTTTGGTATTTTTTGTAGTTTTCGCGATATTCAGCCTTTTCTGCATTTTTTCCCCATTGAAATGCATGTAGAATTCTTAGATTTCAGCAAAATTCATCTAAAACTTCATCATCTTTGACCTTTAACTACTTCAGCATACTTTCAGCTAGAAGCACCATTAAACTTTTAAAATGTTTCTGTATCTTTCTGCTATTACTGTTTAACTCGAGGTGCTAACGTCTCTGTTAAACACTTTAAAAAACTCTGAAAATGGAATACGAAAGGTGGATTCTTGATTCTCGACGTCGGAGTACACAGAGTGAAGCGAAAAGACTACAACTGTGTAAACAGGCCCCATTTCCGTTTCCGGTGGCAGGGGAATATTGACTATTCCAACAGAACTCAATGGGATTTACAAAATGCTAAATAAAACACTACAGGAACGTTTTTTCTTTACGAAACTTTTTTTGGAACGTCATTGAACAGCGCTGACGACCCGGTGAGCAGCATATTTTAAAAAAAGAACGTTTAAGGTTGTTTTAAGGACATTATCGGACATGCACAATGGAAGCCATTCCGAAGCAGCCAGGGGGTGATTCTGCATGAGCCAAAAAGCAGAGACAGGACCAATTGTCAAAATTTTGGTGTCGATCATTCGATTTCATCCTGGACACTACAGAAAATGGGCTTAAAGTGTTAAAAAGTGAACTTCTCCTTTAATAACAGGGGAAAAGAGTGATTTAACAATTGGAAAGTGATGAAGTATCACTGCCGGGTCTGACCCTTTTCTCAACATACAACCCTGCTAGACTTTGAAAATAAGACTCCGGGGACCCTACAAAATAAAAGCCCCTAAATTAAAGTCATATTTTTTTCCCCAGCATATGGCTCAACATTATGACTCAAACTCAACCACTTAAAAAAAATTAAATCTAGGGGGTTTTCAAAATGCCCCCAGTGGCAAATTTCAAAATAAAAGCCTCCCATTGCTACAGTACTTCATCTATTGACCTAAAAATGAGTAAAAAGAGCATTTTAATGATTGGAAATTCATCAAGTATCAATGTTGGGTTTGACCCTTTCCTCAACACACAACCCTGCTAGACTTTCATAATAAGACTCCAGGGACCCTACAAAATAAAATCCTCTATATTACACTCATGTGTTAATTAATGGAAATGACTCAGCATAATGACTCAAACTCCACCAGCTTGTTTCTATTAGACTCTTGGGACCTTTTCAAAACACACCCCAGCAAATTTCACAATAAAAGTCTCTCATTTACGCTCTAATATAGCATCTATTCACTCAATAACATGGAAAACTCTTTTATATGCACTCTTTGTGCCATATGGTTCATAGGTATGACCCGAACTCAACCAATTTCTTCAGATTACACTACCAAGGGCTGTTGACATCACACCTAAGTGAACATTTCTTAATGAAGCTCTAACATTTCTACTATAATAATGCATCTGTTAACGTCATAAGCAGATGCTTTGCTTCTGTCAACTTCCAGGTAAACAGATAATTTTAGACTTTTTCTTCTGGTTAATCAACTTTAACTAAATGTTTTGCTTTTAAGATGAGGTTGTTTCTAACATTATTCTGCCAAATGATTCTACCCTACAAAATCTTCAGATGATTCCACTTGTTTCTGTTGTTTGAAGTTTCTGGTTACTTCCCATCACATTTTCAAATGTTCCTTAGCTAATTTGTGCTTCTTTTCCTTCTTTCAGTTTCTTTAGCTAATTTTTCTCTTTTCATTCAGCAAAAAAAGCATTCCCACTTTGCTGTTTCTCCGAAACAGCTTTTTCTAGTTTAACTAAAGGTTACTGGTTCCTGATTAAGAAAATAATCTTATAAATTGTTATTTGGCCAAACAATGTTTTATTCATCTGCTCTCTTAAACTGTAATATGGTTTTCAACCATGCTTCCCTTCCTCTTTGTACAAAGTAGTTTAGTTTCGTTGAGTTTCCATAGTTTAACTTAAGAGTTTTAAACTGAAATATGTTTGACATGGAGCTGGATGAATTTTTTTAATAAACTCTTATATTTTGAACAGAAGTTGTGGTGAATTTATTCCATATATGTGCAGAATTAACTGTTTGACCATGATTAGAGCTCGAATCACTCTTTCATTTATTGTTCTAACAAACAGCTAGCAGGGCGTGTGTTCATTAACAATATATGACAGTCCAAATAATATCTGATAAAAAAAAGATATTTGCCACCAGTGTTAATTTCGTCAACCAGGACGGTTTGTTGGAGAAGCTGGGCGAAAACAACACCTGGATGTATGGAACCATTTCATTTCATGTATGGGCCTCGAGTAGCAGGAACGGGTGTGTGTGGGCCTTTGCCTGTATCTGTCTGTCTCTCTGTAGCAGAAAGATGTTCTACTGATAGACTGGATATTAATCGTTTAAATTTCCTCCTCCCAACTAGATTCCTGACACAGTGACACCACAGCCAGATCAGAGGTTGGGGAAGGAAGGGAAGTCTGTTGCAGAGATGGTGGGAGCCCCCCTCCCCCATACAAACCTGACTCCAAAGAGCAGAAAGCCCTGGAGAACTCAATGGTAAAGTGGATTGGGCGTTCTGGCCTGCCTGCAAGGACCATTGAGGATGAAGACTTTGTGGATATGATGATCATCATTTAAACTAAGACTACGACTAAATTTAAAATAAGCTGACGAAATTAACACTGATTGCCACCCCTACCGGGCAATAAAGATCTTAAGAGTATCACAACATAATATGGCGTCCCACCTGGCTGGGCATTGAATATAACAGTTATTCACAACACAGTGAATGATGATGTTTGAAAAAACAGGGAAAACTCACTTAAGTTTCTTCACTTTGCAGATTGAACTCTCCAGAATCTCACACAGATGCTTCATTCCAGAGTCTCCAAAGGTTTTCCCTCTACTGATCTCATCTATTATGACTTCAGTCAGATCAGAGGGTTTGGACTTCAGAGCTGAGGTCACAATTTCACAGTCAGCCTCATTGAGAGAAAATCCACCAAGTCTGTGATTAGAGGAGAAATAAAGTCAGTTCTAATGAAATCAGACAATCTGGATGATAAACACAGACTAAAACATGATGAGCAAACAGGGAATATTTATTAGTGTAATTAGAGCTGCTACTAACAGTTATTTGAAAATCAGTTAATCTATCAAATACGTTTTCCACTAATTATATTAATAATCAGATAGCCAAAGATTTCTTACAGAAGACTTTTATTTTATTAAACCAGGTGTAACTAACTTTTCTACTTGTGGAAAGAGCAGATTGACATCTTTTTTTTTTTTGTTGATCTTAAATGCAAAATGTTTATATCATTTTTTTAGAATCTGGGTCTAATTTCTGCTCTAAGTGGGTCTCTCTGTCTGCTAAAAACAAGTTTTAGATTCTCTATACTCCAGTTAATGATTAATTGATTGATCGATCGTGAAAATAATTTCTTCAATGATATGTCAAATATGTGTAAATACTGGACAGAGGATGAATTTAATAAGACTCTGAATGTAAGATGTATCATCGATCCATTTCAATGGTAGAAGCCTCTATTCAAACTTTGAACAAATTAAAGACTCTTTGGGGCAGCTAAAAAGACGTTTAACCATATTGAAAAGATTGAGTTTTTATGGTTGGAAAAGATCGCTAGATGCGAGCCGGCACTACCATCCATGTTTACTTCTGGAAAAAAAAAAAAGCACGCTGGCCTGCGACGTCATTGCGTCCTCTACTGCGCATGCAGGAATCTTGTGTTATATGACTGCAGTTCACACAGGAGATCATATACAAGTCGTATTTAATTGGAAATATGAACAGCAACATGGAAAAAATCGGATTTCGCAAAAAAAAATCGGAATTGAGCATCAAGGCCTGCAGGGTGAACGTAGCCTCTCATTCTGCAGCTAATCCATCATGTCTTCTGCCGAGATCCAAGCAACACAGAAATTATTTCATTCATGTCAATAAAATCTTTCTCATCGTTTCTTTTCTGCTTCTCTCAAGGTGGAAATATCCTTATTTAGCATTTTTATAGGTTTTTAGTATTTATATCCTTCTAATCTAATAAGAAATAGAAATGTGAGTTCCGCTCAGAAATACATCCATGGATTAAACTAAATGACACATCAGGGTTTTTGATTTCTTCTATCTTCCTCTTTATCAGCAGTTTTTTCTTCCTACTAATCAAAATATTTGACCAGAGGCCATAAAAACAAGGGAGAAATTCTCTGGAAGAATCTCCAGATGGGCAGGGACACTAAAGCATAACAATGCCTCCACCTTCCAGTCCAGATCCATCCAGCCTCTCTGGATCTGCTACTGAGAGATGCAGCAGCAGCACCGGGAGCTCAGAGCCTCGTACAGAGGAGGAGAACGGGAGAACCAAGTGTCCTCTCCAGGACTGAAGTCTTAGAGAGGTTCTGAGATTCTTCCTGCGTTCCACACTGCTGCCCATGTTGGCTCAACATCACTCAATAATGTTGCTGGGAATGGGAGTGGGAAATTCCTGCATTATCAGCTCTAAATTCACTGGATTCTGGGAAGTTCTGGATAATGCTGCAGCCCCACACTGAAATTCAACTCATTGTTTCATGTTTCCTGCTTATTAGTGAATAAATCATGAGAGGAAGTTTGAAAAAGAAATAAACTTTAACTGGATCAAAGCAGTGAAGAAGAAATCAGACTTTAGCCTGAAGATCCTCAGTGTGGATCAGTAGAATATCAGCCATATGTCTGCAGTTTAGAGTCAACACAACTTTACCATCAGAAATATCAGCACTAAACTAAAACATGGTGACTGACCTCAATGTCTGTAGTTTGCAGAGGGGAGACTGGAGAAAACCACAGAGCTGCTTCACTCCAAAGTCTTTCAGGTTGTAGTTCCTGTTTAGGTCCAGTTCTGTCAGATGGGAGGGGTTGGACTTCAGAGCTGAGCCCAGAAAAGCCCAACTGAGCTCTATTAAACTGCGATGATTCAATCTAAACAGAAAAACAAGACTTTAGTTCAATTCAACAGAATGCCCATGAAACAAATTATTAACATATAAATAATAATAATACAATATAGAAAACTAATTTGAGTGAATGTAGAAGTCCCAGAAACTCGATGAGCTGATGTTTAATTTCTGATCCAGTAAAACGGCTGGAAAGAGATAAACCAAGCAGAACCAAAACATGTTCTATTGATGTTTGAATGTCCAGATCAAGGTGTGTTTATTAGTCTGACATCAGACTCCCAGAAGCCATGTTGTCTGGGGCTTAAATGCCACTGGTTGGGTCTCCGAGGTCAATAAGTCTCTAAGCTCTACATGTCAGGCAAGCAGCAGTTCAAAAGCCGCCATGATGAAAAAAAGTTTGAGGCATGAGCAGGGACACCACCCTGGGGCCAGGCCTAGGGTTACAGTTCTTCAGCAGGTGCCTGTAGGTCGGCTTCTTGCTTACGGGCTGGTCTCCGCTTTCAATCTCCGACTGTGGGCCTCTGGATGTCCTGTGGGGGGGCACTTCAAGGTAGAGAGTCGAGGGCCCTTTACTAGGGGCCCTCCAGTCTCTGTACAAGCGGAGCTGGAGTTGCGAATTACTGGCGTTAAGTTGGACCTGTTCCTAATGCATGTTGGAGTCCGACAGCGCTGCCCTCAGTTACCGGTTGTAGAGGCTGGAGAGCAGGATCAGAGGTTTGCTGCCGTGAGGAAACAGATCTTCTTTACCACCAATAATTTTGGGTGATATCAGATCATCAGAACCAAGAGGGAGGAACTCTGAATCAGCTCTAAGGTTCCTGATGAGTCCCCTGATGAAGCATCATTGGCTCACAGAGACATGGCTCCAACCCTCTCTGACAGCTGTCAGATTAAAGAGGACAGGTTCTCTCTGACCCGGTCCAACAGAACAGCAGCTTCAGGACAAAGCTGAGGAGGAGGAACCTGCTGCTGCCATCAGAGTTTTATTGTTTTTAAGCCTTTATTGTCATCTTCTTAAACATTATTTTCTAGATAATCTTATTTTATTAGGTGGTTGTCATCTCTGAATTATTTCATTAGAACATGTTTGTGGTTCTGGTTCTACTCCAGAGGAACCAAACACCATTCTAGATGTAAAGATATGGATAAGAAATAAGAAATAAAGCCATTTTACCTGTCTTGTCTAACCATCTGAATCAACAACAAAACATTTTAGGTTTAACATTTAGAATCTTAAACAGGAGAATAATTAATTTACAAGGTAAATAGCCTTAGAAATTATATTCTGACATTAAGACAGCCACAGTTTATAAAGAAAATTAATTAGAATAAAGTTAGGTAAATTTGATTTAAAGTATCAGTGAATGATGATGTTTGAATCAACAGAGAAAACTCACCTCAGTTTCTTCAGTTTGCAGATTGAACTCTCCAGAATCTCACACAGATGCTTCATTCCAGAGTCTCCAAAGGTTTTCCCTCCACTGATCTCATCTATTATCATTTCAGTCAGATCAGAGGGTTTGGACTTCAGAGCTGAGGTCACAATTTCACATTCAGCCTCAGAGAGAAAACAGCCTCCAAGTCTGTGATTAGAGGAGAAATAAAGTCAGTTCTAATGAAATCAGACAATCTGGATGATAAATATTAGCATGTGTGTTATCACCATACTGCAATATCACTCTGTGATGCGATATTTTGCCCAGCAATCAAAATGAAATGTACTGATAAAAAAGCAAGCGCAGTACATATTCAATAAAATCAATGGCTCTGTTCGAAATCCTGGGCTGCATCCTCCAAGGACGCGGTCTACCTAGACTGGATCCGTCGAAGTCCTTGAAAATAAGGAGACCGGAAGAGTTTTGTCTGTAAATTCAAACAGGTCTACCCTTTGGCGGGTTTTACCGTGAACCGTGTAAGTTGACACACAAAGCAGGAAAAGAATGAAAACCAAAGTTTTCAAAACTGTTTGTTTATTTATTTATTTTTTTTAATTATAAAGTCAGCAAAGATTACACTCACAAGAATCCAGAGTGGAATAAATGTTCTGTTGGATTAATTGTACATAAGGTATTCTACTTTAATCATATTATACTTACACATATTGTTTTATTCATATCCCTATCTTACTTAAACATTTAACTTTGTTTGCTGTGTTACTAATGCTTTGCTGTAAGTCTGCAGAAGGATGCTGACGGCAGGTCACGGCTGAGGTCAAGGCTGTGGAACATGGAGAGCTGCATACCCAGATAAGGAGAGGAATTCTCTTATCTCATGATGTTGTACAGAAGTTTCTGTGAACAGGTTTCATCTGGTTTTCCACCCTCCCTTAGCAGATTGAAACCGCATTGTAACCAGGGCATTCCTGATCTAAATAAAAGGACAGAGACTGCTTCAGAGTGGTTTGGAGAATTGTAACTGAACAGTCTCTGATCACTCTCCTTGCAAGTAAATCATACTCAATTCTCTGTGTCTTTCTTTGTGCAGGTTGCTGAATAAGGTGTTTGGTGTTTAAACCTAACAGGTAGAAATATATAAGTAAATCTAAACAATGTATGTATAAAAAAATATATCTGCAAAATCTCTAATATTCAACAACAAAAAATACTTAAATAAGCATATTGTGCAAAACGGCAATAAAAAATTAGACTCCTATGAGATTTATAGTCCCCACCCTGCAGATCTATTAGAATCTGTCCTTAAATTCCAGCCAAACCCATTTAGACAGTAACAGATTAAAACCTGTAGATAAATCAAACATTACCGCCACATATCTGACTTTATAACCATTAAAACAACTATTTTCATTCATCTCAGACGGAACTATTCACAGACTGGATTATATTAAACTGAACTTCCAATATTCACCACTGTTCGGCGCCAAGTAACATTTCCTCTGATCACGGAGCAAATCCCGGCTTGCTTGGACTCGCAATGAATCCTGGGTAATCCAAGGATACCGAGGATAGATCGGACCCCTCCTTCAAATCAGGGAAAAAGAAGGACGCATTTTAAGGTCGCATAACGAGGAGTCTTGGAATCCGACCAGGCGCCGCGCTATGACGTAATCGTCCTTCTAATCTGGCCTTCTAAGGACGCAGCCCATGAATTCGAACAGGGCCAATATGTGTTCTTGAGCGTTCTCGTGTGCTTGTGATACGTCATCAGCCTCAGCCCGAGCACTGTTCCAATTGCCGAGAACACCAAACCGAGAACGCACCAAATCCCCGGATGTTGTTCTCGCCCCGCCCTCTTTATCGATCAGAGCAGGCTTGTCCGTTTTTGAGATTGACAGCTGTCCCAGCATGCACAGCGGCAGCAGCAGCTTTCAATGGAGCGCTCCATTGAAAGTTAAGTTCTCCTTCTGGTGCTGTTGTTCACTAAAAGCGCGTTTTGAGATCATTTGTGGAGAGAATGTTATACCTCAGAGCATCACGATATGGTCAATTTACTGATTTAAAGCATAATAAAAAAAAAAAAAAAAAAAGATTTCTGAAGCTCAGAGAACCGCAGCAACCAGCAGAGCTCCAAAGCTAACGGCAGTTAGGGCTAACCGCAGCCCGTCTGCAGCAGCCCTCTCTCAGCATAGCCGTTTGTGAAGCACAGCTGGGTCTGATTTTTTTTTTTTTTTCATTTGACAAAATGTTCATTTGATTTGTGTTTATCTGACTGTGTTCATTATTATTCCCCCATTAAATGAAAAGAGTCAATTTATTATTACAAAGAGACTATTAATAACAGGATGTGAAATACAGCTCTAGAAGAATCGAGCGTATGGTGACGTCATGAGTACTGTTCTGTTCCAATTGACCCATATCTATGCTGCATGCTCGGGTTCTTGCCAAGTCCACACTTTCCTTTGTTCTTGCCAAGACCAGACTTAGTGAGAACGTGAGTACGAACACGCATTCTCGTGAATAGAGAAAAGTGTTGTTGAGACTCCTCGTTATGCGGCCTTAAAATGCGTCCTTCTTTTTGCCTCTTTTAAAGTGGTCCGATGTATCCCCGCTGTCCTTGGTTTTCCCAGGATTCATTGCGAGTCCAAGCAAGCCGGCTGCTCCGTGATCAAAGGAAAGGTTACTTGGCGCCCAACAGTGGTGAATATTGGATCATCCAGTCAGATTGATTCAACGTTTTCTATCTAAGGAAAACCAGCTGATTGCATCGACTTATTGACTCAAATGCAATCCCTCACACTAAGCATGCTTGTAGCGACAGTGGAGAGGAAAAACTCCCTTTTAAGAGGAAGAAACGTCCACCTTGAGAATTGGAACAGGCTGATGACGTTTCAAGATTACACAAGCACAAGAGTTAAAAAGATATTTTTAACGTTTAAGTCCACACATCTTATGCTTTGTGGTATTCTGTACTTTAAAGATTCATCTCAGTGGTCACTTTTTAAACACCACAATGTATTAAATAAATACATATGCTGGGAGCCAATTCTTTTTTACATCTCTTTAATATTTTGTTCTATTCAGCTACACAAGAATCCTCTTTAAACCAGTAAGAATTGTACTTTAAATGTGACTTTACCCGATTCTTATCTACACCTTAGTAATTTATTGATATGCCGCACAATTTCCTCCTTTTTGGTGCTATAGAAATGGCCACCCTATAGTAGATTCACACGATAGATTTTTGGGCCTCTGATTTACATGCAAACCCTAGAGGTGACGGCAAAGAGATGCGGGGAACAAACTTTAGCTTAAACACTCAACCAAAGACGAGTTCTGTCCTCGATGAGAAAAAAATATCTGAAGGTATCTGGGCCATGGTGGCTGTGGATAAACTTTAGGTAAACAGATAACATTCAGGGACTCCATGTCTTTATTTACAAATAAGTTATACTAACAAAAAACCAACCCCTCAATGATTAGATAAACCTTTGTTTGCTGGTAACTGTAACACCTAAAAACTTAAAATGTCTCTCTTTACGTTTCTGCTTCTCTGTATTTCTGCTTCTTATATTTTTGCATTTAAACCAACATCTAGACAACCACAGGCATTAAACATGATTTTACTGGGTCATATATGCTTCTATGGTGATACAGTAGTCCAAAAGGTAGCAACACTACATCTGAGAGGGCATGGGGTCTTTTCATAACTCTGTTCCCTTTGCTCTCCCTGGGTCTGGGCCCTTGGAGTTGGTCATGGCTTGGCTGTAGTTTCTGGCTCTTCCTGGGTTCTCTGTCCTTTGGCTCCGTCTTCCTGACCGTCCGGTTCCTGACACTGGGTGGAGGTCTGGGACATTGGGAAGTTTGGCCTTTGCAAGGAGGGGGTGGCTAGTAGTAATGTCTGTACAGCAGGTAGGATTTAATCACTGTACCAGGATGCACCTCGGCCTGTGGGGTGAGCCTGCCTGTCCTGGCCCTGCCTGCCCTGGCCCTGCCTGCCCTGGCACTGCCTGCCCTGGCACTGCCTGCCCTGGCACTGCATATCCTGGCCCTGCCTGCCCTGGCCCTGCCTGCCCTGGCCCTGCCTGCCCTGGCCCTGCATATCCTGGCCCTGCCTGCCCTGGCACTGCCTGCCCTGGCACTGCATATCCTGGCCCTGCCTGCCCTGGCCCTGCCTGCCCTGGCCCTGCCTGCCCTGGCACTGCATATCCTGGCCCTGCATATCCTGGCCCTGCCTGCCCTGGCCCTGCCTGCCCTAGCCCTGCCTGCCCTGGCCCTGCATATCCTGGCCCTGCCTGCCCTGGCCCTGCCTGCCCTGGCCCTGCCTGCCCTGGCCCTGCCTGCCCTGGCCCTGCATATCCTGGCCCTGCCCGCCCTGGCCCTGCCTGCCCTGGCCCTGTGCGCAGCTAATGCCTGCAGTCGGCTGTTGGGACACTGGGCAGTGGGGGCGTCTGTTGAACTCCTTCTGGCTCTGTGAGTATGTTCCCCTAGAGCAGGGGTCAGCAACCCATACTGTTCAAAGAGCATAGCAAGAGAATATTGGACCAAAAAAAAAAAATCTGTCTAGAGCTGCAAAAAAAGTAAAACTCTTCTATAAGCCTTGTATGGCAACACAGGTATAAGTGTATTAGCCTTCTATTAAAAAAAAAGCACTACGTGGGTTTAAATATATAATAAGCATTCATGATTACATTTCATCCTGAAGCAAATGTCCTCTCATTTTTCCCCTAGTCAAAAAGATTATGATCTCGATATAACAGGAAATAAAGTTCAATATTTAAAAAAATCTAAAATATAAGAATGAAATATTGACAAGGTAAAATTATATACTAACATTCAGACAGCAACTGTAGAAAATAAATTTTTATCAAATGTCTTAAAATCAGATTTAAATTATAAGTGAATGATGATGTTTGAATCAACAGAGAAAACTCACCTCAGTTTCTTCACTTTGCAGATTGAACTCGCCAGAATCTCACACAGATGCTTCATTCCAGAGTCTCCAAAGGTTTTCTTTCCACCGATCTCATCTATTATCACTTCAGTCAGATGAAGGTTGGACTTCAGAGCTGAGGCCACGATTTCACAGTCAGCCTCACTGAGAGAACAGCCACCAAGTCTGTGATTAGAGGAGAAATAAAGTAAATTCTAATGAAATCAGACAATCTGGATGATAAACACAGACTAAAACAGGATGAGCAAACAGTGAAAATTTATGGCTGAAATAAATGATGGGACTAAATCCAATGAGCTGCATGAAGGAACATGATTGTTCAAACACAAGCTTTAGAAGTGAGACCCCTGGTCCTCAGGACCCACTGTCCTTCATGCTCTAGATCATGAATCCCCAAAGTGTGTTGTGCTGTCACTAGTGGGTGCGCAAGATAAAATATGTAATGCACTTTGATAATTACAAAGATTTTTTTTCCACACACTAGAGTAGCTATCCTTCCATGCATTGTAGTACACAGCTAATCTGTGGCCTCTGCTTTAAACAAACAGTGACTGAACCGTCACACCAGCTGCACTGATGTGCATATAATGCCCACACTGCTTCTGCAATTTGTAGGTAGATGCGATTTCTTGACTATGCTCACACACAGAGCTGTAATATTTTTCATTGGTTTCTTCTGGGCCCCCCTTTGGATTACAATAAAATATCCACGCACACCCCCCCCCCCCCCCCCCCCAAAAATTTAAAATAAACAAAGAATCAACTGGGCACACACATCGTTCAACCAGATATAATAAATCTATACACATATTTTGTTTTCAAACTCCACTGAAGTTTATTTCACACTTCAGGTTGCAACAAAACAAACTACACCATCTTTACAGTGGAACACTTTTGTGTAACTGTATTTTTTTCATAGTTCTATACTGTCGATTAGAAGAGGATTCTTTGTTGTCTGTGTTATTTTAAACATATTTCTTTTTTTTATTTGTAACAATATTTAACTTTGCTATAATCTATACATTAAAAAAGCCTCTGTGCAAAATGGAGTGAAAACATTGAACAGCTCCCTGAGAGTTTTTTCTTTGTACTTTAATCCTCCCATCTTTTCAGTGGCTGTAGTGAGCCTGCTTGTTGCTGTAGATCTTCTCAAATCTGGGTTGCAGTGTCACAACTGTCCATTATGCTCAGTCAAGCAAGCGCTGTTTTTTTTTTTTTTTTTCTTCACTCATACCGCTTCCCGCGCCCCCCCCTGCAATGGCATTGCGCCCCCCCTAGGGGGCGCGCCCCACACTTTGGGAACCACTGGGTTAATGTGATTCTGAAAAGTGCAGCTTATTTAAAAGATGCAGTTTCTGGCAGGAACAGGGAAAGCAGTATTATGCCGAGAAACCTGTGGCCACTGGCGTAGCCAAGGATGTGGCAGGATTGGCTGGTGCCACCCACAGGGGAAGCTGGGACACCTAGTGACCTACTGACCTGATCCATAGGGATTGACTCTTATTTGCGGTCCTTGTGGATTAGGATTCTGGACAGATGGCTCGTCAAACTGAACAACTTTTTTTAGAGGGACTGTGTCTAACAAGCTGCTGTGACCCTGCTGCCTGCATTGGACGTAATTTGCGAACTGGACACATTGAGTGCGCTGAGCAGGCATTATGGACTTGGTTTGGAGGGTGCCGAACTGGGTACTCCGGCTTCCTCCCACAGTCCAAAAATATGACTGTTAGGTTGACTGACTTCTCTAAATTGTCCTTAGGTGTGAGTGTGTGAGCATGATTGTGTGTCTTTGTGTGTCTCTGTTTTGCCTTACAAAAACATGACATGTTGGCCCTTTCCTGGGGGGCTTTTGCCCCCCAGGAACGGGTAGTTATGTTCAAAGTTTTAAAAGTATCGAGCAGAATCTTATGGCAAGTCATACTGCTCTGCTTGTGTAAGCAAAACTGTTGGGCTAGCTAGCTGTAGGACAACAATTCTCAGAGCTATATTGGATTGGAAGGACACACCCAAAAGACCAGAAATGCGCAGGTCTAGTCACAGCGAGGATACTCTAAAGAGTGAAGACTTGTTGCCTCAAGGTTACTGATGGTTTCTAACATGCTTCACCTGTAGAGGTGGAAGAAGGAGGGGTGAATTGACAAAGGGTATGAAGAGTTAAATTAGGAGGATTAATAATGTTAATGGATTTGAACACAGTAAGCCTAGAAATTCTGCAGATGATGCAGGGAAGAACATGGTTCTAATTAAAGGCTCAAAAACATCCTGAGGCAACTGAACCATGAAGAAGAACCAGGAGAACAACAGAGCTAAATCAGAATCAGAATGAAGACATCTGGACTCACCGAGCCTTTCTGCAGTTCCTCACAGCTGGAATCAGTCTACGTCGTCCTGCTGCTGTTGTCTTGTACTCCTTCAGGTTGAACTCATCCAGAACCTCCTCTGACATCTGCAGCATGCAGGCCAGAGCTGAACACTGGGACAAAGAGAGCTTCTCTGATCTTTTCTCTGATTTCAGGAATTGTTGGATCTCCTGATAAAGTGAGAGGTCCTTCATCTCCATCAGACACTGGAAGATGTTGATGTGTCCATCAGGAGTTGGCTGGGTTCTTTTCATCTTAAGATTGTTGATTATCTCCTGGATGGTTTGTGGACTGTTCTCTATCTGACCCAGCAGGCCTCCCAGGAGTTTCTGGTTGGACTCCACACAGAGGCCATGAAGGAAGCGAACAAACAGGTCCAGGTGGCCATTTTTACTTCTGAGGGATTTCTCTAAGGCTTTTTTCATGAAGTCCATCAATGATGATTCACTATATGCTTTTTCCAGAAAGTTCTCCACCACCTCTGTGTTCCTGCTAGTGAAACAGTGGAGCATGTAGATTGCAGCCAGAAACTCCTGGATGCTCAGATGAACAAAGCAGTAGACTGGTTTCTGGAAGATCACGCTCTCTCTTTTGAAGATCTCTGTACAAACGCCTGAGTACACCGAGGCCTCTGTGACATCCAGACCACACTGCTCCAGGTCTTCTTGGTAGAACATGATGTTTCCTTTCTCCAGATGTTCAAAGGCCAGCCTCCCCAGCTTCAGGAGAACTTCCCTGTCAGCCTCCATCAGCTCCTGTGGACTCCTCTCATGTCCTTCATGGTACTTGTTCTTCTTCCTCCTGGTCTGGACCAGCAGGAAGTGTAAATACATGTCAGTCATGGTCTTGGGCAGCTCTCCTCTGTGCTCTGTGGTCATCAGGTTCTCCAGAACCGTAGCAGTGATCCAGCAGAACACTGGGATCCCACACATGATGTGGAGGCTCCTGGAGGTCTTGATGTGGGAGATGATCCTGCTGGACATCTCTTCATCGCTGAACCTCCTCCTGAAGTACTCCTCCTTCTGGGCGTCAGTGAAGCCTCGTACTTCTGTTACCCTGGAAACACAGGAAGGAGGGATCTGATTGGCTGCTGCAGGTCTGGAAGTTATCCAGACCAGAGCCGAGGGAAGCAGGTTCCCCTTGATGAGGTTCATCAGCAGAACGTTGACTGATGACTTCTGTGTGACGTCAGAAACAAGCGGACTGTTGTTGAAGTCCAGAGAAAGTCTGCTTTCATCCAGACCGTCAAAGATGAAGAGAAGCTTCAAATCAGCCAGATTCTCTGCTGGGAGCTTCTGGAGGGTTGGATGGAAAACATGGAGCAGCGTGAGAAGACTGTGCTGCTGATCTCTGATCAGGTTCAGCTCCCTGAAGGAAAGCAGAACCACCACACTGACATCTTGGTTCTCCAAGCCCTCTGCCCAGTCCAGAGTGAACTTCTGCACTGAGAAGGTTTTTCCAACACCAGCGACGCCGTTGGTCAGAACCACTCTGATGGCTCCATGTTGGTCAGGGAAGGCTTTGAAGATGTCGTGGCACCTGATTGGAGAATCATGGAGGTTCTGGATCATTGAAGCTCTCTCCAGCTGCTTCACCTCATGTTGGGTATTAAACTCTTCACTCTGTCCCTCTGTGATGTAGAGATCAGTGTAGATCCTGTTGAGGAGGGTTCTACTTCCTGTTTGATCGCTTCCTTCAGTCACACATTCACATCTCCTCCTCAGGCTGATCTTATGTTCCTCTAGAACCTCCTGCAGACCAACATCTGCTGAAACACAGAAGAAAAGAGGACTGAAGATTTGTGATTTCCCAGATTAAAATGCAGATATTTATTTAGAATATTTGATCTCAGAAAGACTTTGAAAAGCTTGAATCTCCAAATCCAACTAAAGACAGAATTGGTTGAACAGGGACGATAGAAGGAAGCTCTGATTGGAGATGGTCAATCTTACCTGTTGCAAAGCTGCTCTGATTGGCTGTCAGAGATCCATCTCCAGTTCTAGGTCTTTTTCCACACTGGGGGCAGGAGGAGGGTTCTGATGAAGTAGACTGGGCCCAGTGAGACCCAATGCACTGTCTGCAGAACCAGTGTCCACAGCTGGTAGAGACAGGATCCATCAGCAGGTTTTGACACAGAGCACAGCAGGACGGCTGCTCCTCTTCACTAACACTTTTCCTCTTCCTCCGTCTGTGGAGACATTTGTTCATCACTGAAATAGTTCACTACCAACAGGGAGGGTGGGTGTGTGTGTGTGTGTGTGTGTGTGTGTGTGTGGGGGGGTTCTGTCCTACTACAGATGTTAATGAAGGTCCACCACGGAAAAAAGTATCAGAAGCTGGGTCACAATAGAACCTCAGATCATTGATGCTGTCTGGGTTTTAAGTACAATGTCTTGTTTCTATAATAACTACAGGTACTATAAGATTATTTCTTCTGTTTTTTTTTTTGTTCATGGAAAAAAGGTAAATGTTTATATCATGAGATGAACTAAATAAATACTCTAAATAAATCACATTGCACGCTCACAGGCATTACAACAAAGCTTTCATGGTAATATGCATTTTAAAACATTGAATAGAATCTAAAAAAAACTTTAAAATGATGATATGAAATTAAAGCCACAAGGAGCCTTGGACAGCCTTTGCAGCTCAGCATCGCTTGGCGTATTGAGACAGCTGGACCCACGCACCACCGTCACCATGACTATGTCAGTTTGGCCCAAATCCAAGGGTGTAACTTTACAATAAAAGTTGGTGGGGGCGCTCTAAGGGTGGGGGCTGATGGACCTACAGCTACTCAACCTGAACGCTTTCAATAGGGTTTATATTTTCCAAAAATGAGCTCAAACATATATTTATTGAATGCTTTACTATTGTTGAGAACACAATAGTACCACAGTACATGTGTGGTATTTATCGTTATAGACAGATGCCTGCCTTTAGTGCATTATTCTATAAAGGGCTCATAAAACATTAATGTATAAATATGATGAATAACAGCCAATGCCAACATCAATATATCCTGCATCCCTAGAATGGACACAACTTCAGCTCCATCCATCCATCCATGCATGGCTTCCCTTTAAGCTGCATCACTGATCATCCTCCTTCACAATTAGCTAAATTAAATTTAGAAAGTTGTCCCAATGTCATTGACAGGAATTCCTACACAACTTTCTGCTTCTTCAGTTGTGCCTTGAAATGATACAATGGCTTTAGAAAAGTCATTAAGGGTTTGTTTGATGTTTCTGGTACTTTTATTCCTCAAATGATAGTCCCTATGGATCTATAACAAAGGCTCTAGGGGGAATATGTACCCTGCAAATCAGATGGGTGAGGATTCTGGCCAGACTCCTTCCTCTCAACGTTTATTCAACATGTCATTGTTTTCTTCTGCTGTCTGTAACTTGTTTTTGATTAACTGTACGTGAAAAACCTTCACAGCTTTTTGCAGGCTTTAAGTAGTTTGTAAAATCCTGTGTGACCAGAACAGAAAGGAGCAATGGCAAGACTGTATGTTCTCTCTTGCAAGGTTTGAGAAAATTATCAGTAAGAATTATAAGTATGAAACTAAGAAATTAAAAATAAGACATGCAATTTTTTTTCATAATCAAAAATGAAATGTCTGAAGACGCCCTGTCGATGATAAAGCTATCTCAAAGTCTCCGACCAGCTGTGTGGCAGATGCACTAACAGCTGCCTGCTGGTATTGTTGACAGAGGTGTGAGGTAACTACCGTATTTTCACGACTATAAGGCGCACTTAAACGTCTTTTTTTTCCCTCAAAATGTGCGGTGCGCCCTATGGTGCGGTGCGCCCTATGTGTGTTGTAACTGCGACTTTTGAGACCACCTCATTGAGGAGATGATGAAAGAGTGGCTGAATGTAAGGAGACCAGGTGTTTTTTTTCCACTCATCACCATCGCTGTTAATATGTAACTCCATGCGTGCCCATCTCACAGCTGATGTGAAAAACATGGGGAAACAAATTAACGCTGTGCTCGCTGTTCAACTGCTCGACATCGGTGTGAACCGGACGCAGCAGGTGCAGCAGAAGCAGCGAGTTTACATGCAAAGTCAATGGTTGACGCGCGTATAGGTGCAGCAAAAGGTCCCGCAGCGCGTTTTGAGCAGCAGACGCAGCGCGTCAGGAGCGTTAAAGCATCTGACGCGCCGCCAACGCGCTGCTGCTGCTCGAGATGGAAAAATTGAGGTTTTGCTGCTGGAAGCGCCGCATCAACCAATCAGAGAAGCAGATCTGGGAGCTGACAACGAGACAGACACATCGCCCTGATGACAATATGATATTAAGGCAAATGAAAAGGGCTGGATGGATGAGGAGATGATGAAAGCGTGGCTGAGGCAGGTGTATGTGAGGAGACCAGGTGGTTTTTTCCACGCATCACCATCGCTGTTAATCTGTGACTGCGTGCCCATCTCACAGCCGATGTGAAAATAAAAGGTGAATCAAATGAACGCTGTGCTCGCTGTTATCTCGGAGGTCTGACAAAGAAACTTCAACCGCTCGACGTCGGTGTGAACCGGCCGTTCAAAGTAAGGCAGCGAGCGGCGTGGGAGCGATGGATGACCGACGGAGACCACAGTTTCAGGATAAGTGGAAGGCAGCGCCGGGCAAGTTACGCCACCATTTGCGGATGGATTGTAGATGCTTGGACTAACGTGTCTGCTGGCTCAGTTGTTCAAGCTTTCGCAAAAGCCGGCACTATTTCTGAGGAGCCGCACGGCACGGAAAGTGACTCTGACAGCGAAGAAGGGGAAATTGGCATGTCTGATTTAGCGCAGCTGTTTAATTCAGAAACAGAGGATGATGACTTTGATGGGTTTGATTAATACTTTGTAATAAATACATGAATAAAGCACAAACATACTCAGTTTTGCTCCCGCTCTATTTTTCTACCTGAAAGCTTAATTCAACAGCAGCCTCTGGGCGGGTCTCCTCCTCTTCACCGCGGCGGCTGGCAGGTGTTTTTCATCTAAATAATCTAAATCTTGCAGCTATATTTGCTGTGATCAGTGGGAATAAAGTAGTTTTAATATGTTTTTAAGTGAGAAAGTCCACCTGAAAACTTCATAATTGCAGTCAGTTCATCCTGCCTATACTATTTGTGTCGGAGGCGCTCAGACCCCCACATACCAGCGGTGCGCCGACAGCAGAAATCCCTTCATCAGCAGCCTCTAAGCAGGGCAGCCTCGGGTTCACGCGGTGGCTGGCAGGTGTTTTTCATCTAAATAATTTAAACTGCAGGCACCAGGATACCGGTAATAAAAGCGAACAAATTCCGTCGGCAGGTTTCAGGATTTTAAGTTAATTTAGGAGTGATCACAGCGCTGTGTCATCTGCGATGTGTCTGTCTCACGGCCAGCTCCCAGGTTTGATTAATACTTTGTAATAAATACATGAATAAAGCACAGTCATACTCAGTTTTGCCCCCACTCTATTTTTAAATACGCAGTAGAGGTATTTAAACGTAATAGAGGACATGTACCTGTATATAAAAAACGCGCCTTTTAGTACGGTGCGCCTTATGGTCATGAAAAAACGGTATGTGTAAAAAGTTTGTTGCTGTACGCAAGTAGCTTTTCCCATATCTGTACTTTAGTTGAGTATTTATTTATTTGTGGACTTTTTTTTCTTTTACTCACTGCATTTGAACAAATAATATTGAACATTTCTCTCATTATCTCGAGAGTGTTTCATCAAGCAGGAAAACAAGAGAAGAGAATCTGTCCAACTGGATCCCAGTTATAGAAAAGCCCTGATAGAGACATGGATGAAGACAGGAGGCTGGAAAACACTGCAGATGATGGATCAGATTCTGGGAAGCAGGACATTCTCCATCTATTCCCCCTTTAGCAGGTTTTTAATATACATATTGATTATGTTTCAAGTTTTATTTTTGTTTTAATGCAATTTGCAGCTTTAATGCTGAAAATATCAGAGCTCTAAAAGTATTCAGCTGTTCATCAAGGGCTGAGGTTCAGTTTGTATCATCCTGTCTGAAATTATAATTTAGAACAAAACTTGACAGAGTCAGTTTATTTCAATGCTTCTCTACCAACACAGTGAGAAAAGGAGAAAAACCAACTCATTATATGTGGCTAGATCTAAAAAAAATAGAGTTGTCTAAGTTCTTTTATTTCATTTAAAGAAAAAAATGATTTTACTCTTGTACTTAACTTCAATCTAGAACCTGTATGTTTAAGTCCTACTTAATTAGAGGAGATCAATCAGAACTTTTAACAGCTCTGATTAGGGGTGCACCGATACATCGGCCGGCTGATCGGCCCCGATTTCCTTAATTTAGTGTGATTGGTGATCGGCCGATATTTACATATGAAACCGATCTTAACCACCGATCTATTTACCTCCGCGAGTGTCTTAAGATCAGTTGCTATTCCATATTTTTTCTGATCTTTTGTTGAAGTTTTTTGAAATGTAAAAAAATCAAAAGACCAATGTTGTAGTCTTTAGTTTGTTTTATTAAATTAATATTTATTATTTAATTCATTTCTATGTCAAGGCTCTACCTCATGGGCAGTTAAAACAAGTTTATAATGGTTCAAGGCTATTGTTCAAGGGCATGTTTTTCAAGAAAAGATTGTAACATTGAAAGTGAATCGCGATCTTGTAACACAGTGTTGGTTATACCAAAAAAATAATAAAATCGGTATCAACCAAAATCAGAATCGGCAGGTCAGACTTTTTAAAGATCGGTGATCGGAAATCGGCCGGAAAACTGCAATCTGTGCACCCCTAGCTCTGATAGCAGATCAAGCTCTGCACTGGTGGCAGCATGATGCTGCAGCTTCCCTCTCATCAGAGAACGTTCCTGGAGCTGGTTGGACGTCCTGAAGCTTCTTTTCTGCAGCTGAACTTCTCAGCTTAAAGTTCAGTCTGACTTAGTTTCCATCTATCAGAGATTGATGATGTTTAAACATGATTATAGCAGCTAGTAACAGATGACTCACCTTGGATCTGCTGCTCCAGGATCATTACTGAATACAGGAGGAACACCTTTGGACCAGTCACTCTTCATAGAAACACAGCTGGGTGATGGAGACTCTGCTCTGTTCTCCTCTGTGTTCATAACTATAACTGATGGTCTCTGCAGACATGAAGTCAATCTGAGAGGAAAACAGAGACTCTCAGTTAACATGTTGTTCAGTCCCAGTGTTCCCAGTTAGCTGCTCTCTGGTCTGTCCTGTAGAGCAGGAAGCTGATTCTATTCTCAGTAAATCTGTTTATATTCAATCTTCTGTAGAGATGAGACACTGTGGAATGTTCTTACAATATGGTTCACAGAAAAATAAGTTCATAAGTTAAACAAACAGAATTGAATAAATTTGACAGTTGAATAAATATAGGCTAATACAATTATAGTTAAATGATTATTTGAACCCAAAGTAGATTTATTTTACATGCTAAATTTTGTCATTATACTAGTTTGACTATAGAAGAATTTCTCCACTAGAGGGCGCAGGTGCTATATGTCAGCAAGGATGTTGCTTTTCTTCCCACTAATGGACAGCAAAGAAGAAAGCTCTAGAAAATTTAATTCTATGTGATGTTGCTGATGCAGCAGTTCAGAAGAACCCGATGTATTCCAGCATCCAGCTGCCATGCACGTGGGCATTGTCAGTTTCACTATAGCTCTGGTGAATTTCAATGGTGAAGTCCTCTGGAAATCTTCAATAATTGTTGTTGATTGCAGATGCGTCTAGTAGTTCCCATTGATTTAGCTTGGAAAGCGGGGAGAATGGCGCTAGGCTTACCGCACCGTGACGTCACTGCCAATAAGTAGCGTCTGCTGGCACCTGCCACTACGCTGCCACTAGGGTGCCAGCAGAGCCTGTCACCCTAGTGGCAGCATAGTGGCAGGTGCCACTGGCCTCTTATTGGCAGATAAACTACTTCATTCCATCAAGTAAGTGTGTCTTTATAAAAGTTTTAATACAGTTTATTAAAGAATAAAAGCCCAACATTAAAACATCAATCTCCTTAGAGCTACTATAAATAAGTTATTTGTCTAAAATCAGCTTCTGCAGCAGCAGAAACGCTGTCAGTGAGAGTGGAGCTGATGAGGCAGACTGTCAGCCTAGTGGCTGATGCATTGCATAGGCGCATCGCAGCTAATAGAATCTGAACCACATACCTGTTGATGCGGAAACTTTACTTTTTCTGTTTTCACAGTAGAATTTAAATCCCAGAGTTAGCAGCTACCTCTACGGTATGAGTCGCCATGACTGCTTGATGTTTTGTCTTGTAGAAAAATGCAGATATTCTTAAACGAAGAAGTAGATTAATTTGTGACAAACGAGGTCCACATCATAGCGGTTTGAGCTGTTTGGAGAGATTAGATGGCTGTGTGGTTGCCCGATCAAAATACCGTAAATGTAAACAAACGTGTGAGAATAAAGGTTATAATTTATCCTGGCCTAATATCTATCCAACACACGTCTGTAGTCTGTGGATAATGTTAAATATTATGAGTAATTTAAGTTTGGGGATCAAATAAACGCATCGTGAGGATCTGAAAGCGTCAGAATCTGCAGAGTCTCAGATTAACTTGTGATCCAGCGGATCTGGAGGAATATGGGCTGTAAAACCCTCCATCTCCTGGGATGTTTGGATGTTATTATCTTATCCTCAGTTAGGGTTGTAGCATGCTACTTTAAATTTTTAACTGTTATTGTTGATTATTTTTCTTACCGCAATTATGAACCTGTCATGATGTGTGACCATGTTAATGCAGTCAGCTGTCATCTTATTCCCTTCTATTGTTTTCAGGACGCCACATTATTTGGTTTGCATGCAGAACAACTTTAAATCATTCGCGTTTTTCAAGTTACTGGCAATAGAGTATTGCTTTGTCTACTTTTTACTATTAGTCTAAATAGTTTGCTTTCTCTCATCGCTGAGGCTAAGAAACAAACAGATAAACAACAGCAGGACAAGTTCCTCAAATCTCTGTGTGCGGGTTTTGAGAAATCGCTAAAACCTGCTTTATGCTTTCTTAATGCAATTAAATACCTTTGTAATGGTGACTTCTTCAAATCTCAACGTATTTCATATCGATCAGATAACAAAATAATTTGTAGTTCTTAGAGTCTACACGCAGTTTACTTCCTGTTTGAGGAGAGGGGTCCTGAAAAGCCCCGCCCACAGACACGTCTGCAAAAATCAGCAGTTTTCCAGCTGCTGTCGCCAGTTGATCTGTCACACCGGAAGTGTCCCAAGGCGGCCATGAATCGGTCTGCGCCAGGTGACGTCAATGTTTACCTCGGGCGCGGTGCATCGTGGGAAAACCACCATAATAGGTGGAAAGTCGAGATAACCCACACGCGGCTGTTCTTTCGGCACAATTATTTACCAGAAATGACGCAATCGTGTTGTGTGAGAGGCTGCCAGTCCCGGTGTCGTGCCAAGGTAGTTATCCCTGCGAAAATTTGTATCCCCTCGTCGGGAGCGCGCACGGAGTAGGAAGATCAACCCGACTTAACTCCGCTTCAATTCCAACGTGCAGAACTTGAAGTTTGAAAGGTTTTACGTGTATGAAAGTTGAGCTTTACTGTTTTATTCTTTACTTCACGTGTTATAGCAGAATATCGCCAGTGATATTGATCTAAAACTAATAATAAAACACAAACGTTTGCTTGAAAGCTGGTCGCTGACAGCAGTGTCTACTCCTTCCTCTGAAAGCAAACAGATCCTTGTTCTTTTCCACACATTCCTTAAAAAAATCTCTCATTGTTTCAGTGTCCAAATGTTCTCATCCCATTGAAAACTGTTGTAAACCATATACTTGTAATAAAAATGAAATAGAAAATTGAGCGCACGTGTAATCATTAAAGACTATATGCAGAAGAAAAATCACTTTTTCCTTTTTGAAATTTAGTACTTAAATCTATATTTGTGTTTATAGTAACGTACAATTTATCACTGTTGTACTATCCTTTATAAACAGTTTGTCTTCTAACATCAGCCATTTTATTTCATCCCATATTGTCAGAACCAGCAATATGGGATGAAATAAAACCTGCTGTAATCTGTTCCCCCTGTCTAAAAAAAAGGTCCCAGCTTTTTCATTTTTTGCTTTTAAACATCTTTTATGATGACAACTAACTCCTGAAACTTTGGAGTTGATTGACCTTTATTTCTTAAAGTTATAAGGGGGGAACAGATTATAGCAGGCCACCTGCTGTAATCTGTTCCCCCCTGTCTATATCAGGCAAAAAAGGTCCCAGCTTTTAAATTTTTTGCTTTTAAACATCTTTTATGATGCAAAAAAAAAAAATCTCGACTTTCCACCTAATATGGTGGTTTTCCCACGATGCACCGCGCCCGAGGTAAACAATTGACGTCACTTGGCGGAGACCGATTGGAACAGAAGCGTACTCGTGACGTCATCACATGCAACGTTGTTTAGCATTTCTTTAAAGGAATAGTACACCCAAAACATGATTAGCCTTCATTTTCTACTCACCCCCATGCTGAACAACACTCTGGAGTACTTTTTTGATATCTCAAATGCATCTGGAGATCTGGGAGGCTTCTTGCTGTCTGCTGACATTCAAATAATGGAGGTCTATGGCGCCCGAGACAGAAAGGTCCATAAAAGTCCACAAAAAACGTGTCAATATTCCTCCATACTGCTCGTCCAATGTATTCCAAGCGTCCTGAGTGGGTAGCGTCCATAATTTACTCGAAACGAAGTCATTTAGAATGTTTTTAGAGCATAAACAGTAGTGTATAGGATTTCCTAAAAGCGCGCGCCGGCGCGTTCATGACGCTACGGAAGCCGGCAGACCAAACCAGATGAAAGTGCGCATACAGCGTCTGCTCTGCCGATAATGCAAGCGTAGAAGAAGAAATGTGCTGTTTACCTGTGCAAAGAAAGAAACAACGAAAGAAAAATGTCTGAGGACTTCAGTGTTGAGGAAGAGCATGAGTTCTTTGCCGAGCTGAATGCGCACTTTCATCTGGTTTGGTCTGCCGCGGTTTCCGTAGACTCGTGAACGCGCATGGGGGCGCTTTTAGGAAATCCTATACACTACTGTTTATGCTCTAAAAACATTTTAAATGACTTCGTTTCGAGTAAATTATGGACGCTACCCACTCAGGACACTTGGAATACATTGGACGAGCAGTATGGAGGAATATTGACACGTTTTTTGTGGACTTTTATGGACCTTTCTGTCTCGGGCGCCATAGACCTCCATTATTTGAATGTCAGCAGACAGCAAGAAGCCTCCCAGATCTCCAGATGCATTTGAGATATCAAAAAAGTACTCCAGAGTGTTGTTCAGCATGGGGGTGAGTAGAAAATGAAGGCTAATCGTGTTTTGGGTGTACTATTCCTTTAACAGTCAAAACTATTTATTCCCTACATAAAACATTTTGAAAACAATATTTTTTATTTCTAAAGCTTAAAAAACACACAAAAAAATTACCGAACCGCAAAAAACCGCCATCAGAACGAGCGGTAGTTCACACATAACTAGACCGAGAGAAGTGCACTACAGACGGGGTAACATTAGCCCTGGCTGCGGTTACCCTCGGAGGTCTGCTGGTCACTCTGGTCCGCTCAACGTCGGACTTTTTTTTTTATTTCGCACCAACTCTGTAAACAGGCCACACAGGGAGGCTTCAATGTATAATGTTATCGCCTCAAAAGATTTCAAAACGTACTTTTGAAGAACAAAAGCAGCAGAAAAGGGAATGTTTACCTTAACACTGTGAGCGCTGTCTGGAATCAAGCTGCGGCCGCTTGGAAGAATGCACAAGTCTGCTCTGATGCATGCTCGATAAAGAGGGCGGGGCGAGAACAACATTTCACCTGATCACGTGATCGGCTGTTTCCTCATCGCTATGCGCATGCGCATCTTTCTACAGGCGACTCACCGGCTCTGTTCGAAAACCTAGGACGGGTCCTCCAAGGACGCGGTCTACCTAGACTGGATCCTTCGAAGTCCTTGAAAATAAGGAGACCGGAAGAGTTTTGGCTGTGAATTCGACCAGGTCTACCCTTTGGCGGGTTTTACCACCGTATGCTCTGTTGCTTAGCAACCGTGAACGCTGACACACAAAGCAGGAAAAGAATGAATACAGAAGTTTTCAAAACTGTTTATTTATTTCTTTTTTATTGTGAAGTGAACAAAGACTACACTCACAAGAATCCAGAGTGGAATAAAGGTTCCAACCACCGGGAGCAGGAACAAATCAAATGTAATGATAGAAACCTTAGTCAGTTAAATAACCTGCTGCTGTCATTCTGCACATCTCTGATGTTGCTGCTTTTTTCAAATATCCATTACTGTAAAAATGTCCATAGCTGCATATTGGTTATTAATTCTCCAGTTTTATATTGTTAAAACACTTTACAGTATTTTATTGTTTATATTTTAACTCTTCCCTATTATGTTATTCTTATACATTTTTCTAAGGTCCACATTTGTGTGACCATTTTCAATAATCTTTCTGCTGCTGTAAATTTGCCAATTGTGGGACAATAAAGGGATTTTCTATTCTATTCTATAAAAGGGTTAGAAATATATAAGTAAATCTAAACAATATATTTATAAAAAATATATCTGCAAAATCTCTAATATTCATCAACAAAAAATACAAAGTTAAGCATATTGTGCAAAACAGCAATAAAAAGATAAAAATCCTATCAGATTTATAGTCCCCACACTGCAGATCTATTAGAATCTGTCCTTAAATTACAGCCAAACCTATGGAAGCCCGTTTCCGCCACTCTGTAAAAAAAAAAAAACAACGATCTCAATATAATGAGATAGTAACTCAATATAATGAGTTACTATCTCATTATATTGAGATAGTAACTCATTATAATGAGATACAATCTCATTATAATGAGTTACTATCTCAATATAATGAGATAGTAACTCAATATATTGAGATAGTTTTTTTTTTTTTTTTTTTTTAGCAATTTTTTAAGTTAAAATTGAGTATTTTTGGTCAATAGCTCCCAGGTCATGTGACCTATTGACCCAAAATCAGTGTGAAATTGTTCTACTAGTCTCTGTAGATGGGGCACACTCACTTGATTTTCATTTTAACTCTTTTTTTATTTTTTACCAATTTTTTAAGTTAAAATTGAGTATTTTTGGTCAATAGCTCCCAGGTCATGTGACCTATTGACGCAAAATCACTTGGAAATTGTTCTACTAGTCTCTGTAGATGGGGCACACTCATTTGTTTTTCATTTTAACTCTTTTTTTATTTTTTTAACCAATTTTTAAGTTAAAATTGAGTATTTTTGGTCAATAGCTCCCAGGTCATGTGACCTATTGACCCAAAATCACTTGGAAATTGTTCTACTAGTCTCTGTAGATGGGGCACACTTTTTTGTTTTTCATTTTAACTCTTTTTTTATTTTTTTACCAATTTTTAAGTTAAAATTGAGTATTTTTGGTCAATAGCTCCCAGGTCATGTGACCTATTGACGCAAAATCACTTGGAAATTGTTCTACTAGTCTCTGTAGATGGGGCACACTTTTTTGTTTTTCATTTTAACTCTTTTTTTATTTTTTTACCAATTTTTAAGTTAAAATTGAGTATTTTTGGTCAATAGCTCCCAGGTCATGTGACCTATTGACGCAAAATCACTTGGAAATTGTTCTACTAGTCTCTGTAGATGGGGCACACTTTTTTGTTTTTCATTTTAACTCTTTTTTTATTTTTTTTACCAATTTTTAAGTTAAAATTGAGTATTTTTGGTCAATAGCTCCCAGGTCATGTGACCTATTGACGCAAAATCACTTGGAAATTGTTCTACTAGTCTCTGCAGATGGGGCACACTTTTTTGTTCTTCATTTTAACTCTTTTTTTATTTTTTAGCAATTTTTTAAGTTAAAATTGAGTATTTTTGGTCAATAGCTCCCAGGTCATGTGACCTATTGACCCAAAATCAGTGTGAAATTGTTCTACTAGTCTCTGTAGATGGGGCACACTCACTTGATTTTCATTTTAACTCTTTTTTTATTTTTTACCAATTTTTTAAGTTAAAATTGAGTATTTTTGGTCAATAGCTCCCAGGTCATGTGACCTATTGACGCAAAATCACTTGGAAATTGTTCTACTAGTCTCTGTAGATGGGGCACACTCATTTGTTTTTCATTTTAACTCTTTTTTTATTTTTTTAACCAATTTTTAAGTTAAAATTGAGTATTTTTGGTCAATAGCTCCCAGGTCATGTGACCTATTGACCCAAAATCACTTGGAAATTGTTCTACTAGTCTCTGTAGATGGGGCACACTTTTTTGTTTTTCATTTTAACTCTTTTTTTATTTTTTTACCAATTTTTAAGTTAAAATTGAGTATTTTTGGTCAATAGCTCCCAGGTCATGTGACCTATTGACGCAAAATCACTTGGAAATTGTTCTACTAGTCTCTGTAGATGGGGCACACTTTTTTGTTTTTCATTTTAACTCTTTTTTTATTTTTTTACCAATTTTTAAGTTAAAATTTAGTATTTTTGGTCAATAGCTCCCAGGTCATGTGACCTATTGACGCAAAATCACTTGGAAATTGTTCTACTAGTCTCTGTAGATGGGGCACACTTTTTTGTTTTTCATTTTAACTCTTTTTTTATTTTTTTTACCAATTTTTAAGTTAAAATTGAGTATTTTTGGTCAATAGCTCCCAGGTCATGTGACCTATTGACGCAAAATCACTTGGAAATTGTTCTACTAGTCTCTGCAGATGGGGCACACTTTTTTGTTCTTCATTTTAACTCTTTTTTTATTTTTTAGCAATTTTTTAAGTTAAAATTGAGTATTTTTGGTCAATAGCTCCCAGGTCATGTGACCTATTGACGCAAAATCACTTGGAAATTGTTCTACTAGTCTCTGTAGATGGGGCACACTCATTTGTTTTGCATTTTAACTCTTTTTTTATTTTTTACCACATATGGACACCCTTATGCTTGAACGTGGTGTTCGTTATGGACAATCCATGATGAGCACAGAAGTCCAACAACAGAACACCACTCGAGTTCAGATCGGGGCGACCATTCCTCCCAACCATGCCCCTCCAGGTCTCACTGTCATTGCCCACGTGAGCGTTGAAGTCTCCCAGCAGAACAAGGGAGTCCCCAGGAGGAGCACCCTCCAGTTCTCCCTCTAAGGACTCCAAGAAGGGTGGGTAATCTGAACTGTTGTTCGGCCCGTTAGCACAGACAACAGTCAGAACCCGTCCCCCCACCCTTAGGCGGAGCCCTCTCGTTCACCGGGATGAACCCCAACATACAGGCCCGAGCAACAAGTATGCCCACTCCTGCCCAGCGCCTCTCACTGTGGGCAACTCCAGAGTGGAAGTATGTCCAGCCCCTCTCAAGGAGACTGGTTCCAGAACCAGAACCATACGTCGAGGTGAGACAGACTATTTCTAGCCGGAACCTCTCAGCCTCACACACTAGCTCCGGTCCCTTCCCACCAGCAAGGTGACATTCCACATCCCAAGAGCCAGCTTCTGCAGCCGAGGATCGGGCCACCAGGGTCCCCTCCCCCGGCCAACACACATTGCATACGACCCTTATGGCCCCTCTCACGGGTGGTGGGCCCATGTAAGGGGGGACCCAACAATTCACACTGATTTTGGGTCAATAGGTCACATGACCTGGGAGCTATTGACCAAAAATACTCAATTTTAACTTAAAAAATTGGTAAAAAATAAAAAAAGAGTTAAAATGAAAAATAATTGAGTGTGCCCCATCTACAGAGACTAGTAGAACAATTTCACACTGATTTTGGGTCAATAGGTCACATGACCTGGGAGCTATTGACCAAAAATACTCAATTTTAACTTAAAAAATTGGTAAAAAATAAAAAAAGAGTTAAAATGAAAAATAATTGAGTGTGCCCCATCTACAGAGACTAGTAGAACAATTTCACACTGATTTTGGGTCAATAGGTCACATGACCTGGGAGCTATTGACCAAAAATACTCAATTTTAACTTAAAAAATTGGTAAAAAATAAAAAAAGAGTTAAAATGAAAAACAAATGAGTGTGCCTCATCTACAGAGACTAGTAGAACAATTTCACACTGATTTTGGGTCAATAGGTCACATGACCTGGGAGCTATTGACCAAAAATACTCAATTTTAACTTAAAAAATTGGTAAAAAATAAAAAAAGAGTTAAAATGAAAATCAAGTGAGTGTGCCCCATCTACAGAGACTAGTAGAACAATTTCACACTGATTTTGGGTCAATAGGTCACATGACCTGGGAGCTATTGACCAAAAATAGTAACCTTTCCTCTGATCACAGCTTGCTTGGTCTCGCAATGAATCCTGGGATATCCAAGAATACCGAGGATACATCAGACCCGTCCTTCAAATCGGGCAAAAAGAAGGACGCATTTTAAGGCCGCATAACGAGGAGTCTTGGAATCCGACCAGACCTCGGCGCCGCGCTATGACGTAATCTGTCTTCAAATCCGGTCTTCTAAGGATGCGTCCTAGGCAAAATATGTCTCACCTCATCGCTTCATAAGAACAATAAGTCAATCAGATCCCTCTTGCAGAGAGAGGTGGTGTCTGTTCCTGCTGTTCTATCATATTGGAACCGATTTGTGTCCGATGTCTCCTGGAAACACACTTGGCTGTTACCCAATCACTTTCTCCTTACTAACAAGGTGAAAGAAGTCTCATTCAAACTTATTCACAGGATTTATCCTGTAAAAGACTACCTAAAAAAGTTTAAACCTGATATTCCTGTGAACTGCACTTTTTGTAATCTTCTCCAAGAAACTGTAACACATTTGTTTTGGTTGTGTCCATACTCTAAGACGTTTTGGTTACACTTTTGCAACTATGTAAATTCAAATGTTATGGAAAATTTTCAGCTTCATTGGAAAAACATTTTATTTGGCTTTCAACTGCAAAGTAAAATGTTTCCCAAACCTTTTCTTATCAATCTTTTAATTTTGTTGGCCAAATTTCACTTGCATAAATTTAAATTTCTAAAAAACAAACCGGACTTTAAAGCTTATTTAATAGAAGTCAAACAATATTTTCATACAATTCATCTTTCTTCTTATCAGAAAGCTCAAAAAACCATAACAATCTGTTCCCAACTAGAAATTCTAGACAACTTAATGTTGTAAAAGATATATTTATTTGTATAATACATACACATATATATATGACACTCCCCAGCGCACATGTTTGTATAATTGCTTGTTTATTTATTCCTATCTGTACTTGTTTATTGTGACATACCCCCTGGCATATTTATTTATTTGTTTGTTTGTTTATATATTGTTCTGTGACTTTAAGTGAAATAATAAAAAAAAAAAAAAAAAAGTATGCGTCCTAGGTTTTCGAACAGAGCCACCATTTTCAGGTTTGAGAGGAAAGAAACAACTTTGCAACAAAAGTTGTTTTTAAAATCTCCAATAAATCATTCAGAGGTCTGAAGCAGCAGCTGCAAACGGTTCAATCCAACTTTTTATCTCTTTGAAAATATAAATATAAACACAATGTTCTCAATATTTTCCTACATCATCATCGATTATTTTTTTCTTTCCTTTCCTTTCCTTTCTTCTCTCCTTTTTACTTTTAGATTTTTAAAAAATGTAAAAGATTTGTTTGTATTTATAATTCAGCTGAAGAATATTTAAACATCACTTTAAACTAGGGCGGAAACTAACCATTATTTTGCAAATTGATTAATCTGTAGATTATTATATTGATAATATGACAGCCAAAGGTAAACCAATATAGCAACTCAAAATTCAGAAATAAACATTTGCGATATTCAAAAACAAACTAAATCAGTGACCAATATAGCCTCCTTTCTCCACCATGACGCTCTAAAGCCTTCCATCCATAGATTCTGATCTGTTTGCAGACCAATTAATAATTCTTCTTCCTCTCTTTTTTACAATAAATAAAGACATGGACAACAAGAACTAATTGCCTATTTACTGCCCCACGCCTCCAATCATTACATCAAATATGGCAAAATCAGGAAACAGTAAAGATTTCTCTGATCATTTAAAATATGTTTGGATTTTCTCAGAAAGGGAATTTTTTAACACATTTAGTTTTTAACATGTGACTTCCATTTCAAAGTCTCCTCCATGAGTTCTCCTAAAAAAATAAATTCTGACAATTTCCAAACTTTAAAGCCATTTAATATCAAGGTTAATATTTTAAAAGCATTTTTGATTTGTAAGCAGACTAGACGTTTTAATGATTGCCTATTTTTAATAAACCATGATTGTAAAAGCATAATTTGTTGATCAACAGATTTTATTATTGTTAATTTCCCATCTGACAGAAAGAAATTAGTATTATCTGCAAAGAGAACGAACCACAGTATCTGTGAGACATCGCAGAGGTCATTTATAGAAAATACGTTTTGGCACCAACCCCTAGCCCTGAGGGCCCCCACCTAGAATTATACTTCATTTAGAGTCATGATGACCCGCATATTCACTGTATTGTCTAGTTTCTAAATATCTAGTGACCCGGTTTAGCTCTAAACCTCTAATTCCATAAGTTTGCTGTGATCAGGAGAATCAAAAGCTTTTTCCATGTCAACAAAAACTTCAAATATATTTATTTTGTAGATTTGTCATTTCTATCATCTGTGATTTTTAATAGTGCCAAAGCTGTTGAGCGAGTACTTCTCAAACCATATTGATTTTATTTAACAAAAAATGTATTTCTATAAAAGGATCAATTTTAACAAAACATTAATCCAACATTTTTTAAAAAAAAATGAGAGAGCAAAGATATAGGCCTGTAATTATTAAGACTGAGCTTATTACCAGCTTTAAAGATACGGATAAACTTTTTATATATTCAGGAAATACACACTGTCATTGATTTCACCAAGGTAACGGGATTACAGCTCTTTATTTTCACCTTTCGAATTATCATTATGTGAGGGAATAGATTCGGACAGAATTAATCTCTACATTCTGATCAGTAATCAAAAAGGATGTTTGACTAAGAATTACTGTCGATAACATCTGTAAGCCAGCTCCCATATCAGAGGATGAAGAGAGCACATCCAGTTAGTCTCAGTCAGAGAAACAGGACTACACTGGAAAACAGGCCAAGCTCCATCTTATATCAGAGATCTGATTGTTCCTTATGTTCCTAACAGAGCACTTCGCTCTCAATCTGCAGGTTTACTAGTGGTTCCTAGAATCTCTAAAAGTAGAATGGGAGGCAGATCTTTTAGTTCTCAGGCTCCTCTCCTGTGGAACCAACTACCAGTTTTAGTCCTGTCTACTTTTAAGGCTAGGCTTAAAACTTTCATTTTTGATAAAGCTTCTAGTTAGAGTGGCTCAGGTTATCCTGAGCTATCTCTATAGTTCTGCTGCTATAGGCTTAGACTGCTGGAGGACATAGGGACCCCTACTTCAACATTTTGATTCATTCCAATCTGCAGAATCTGTTATTTCTCTAATCTCTAACATGATCTTTCAGCTTCTCACAGTGGCTTCATCTGGTTGGCTCCTGTTGGCAGTTTGCCAAACATATATCAGCTGTGCTGCTGCCATCAACACCTTTGTTTCTAGATGCTGGAGCTTGGCCTGTTTTCCTGTGTAGTCCTGTTTCTCTGACTGTGACTAACTGGATGTGCTCTCTTCGTCCTCTGGCATGGGAGCTGGCTCGGAGCTCGTCTGCCTGGCTGTGTGTTTCCTGGATGGGGCCGCCTTTTACAGTTGCCTTTTGTATCTATGCTTCTTTTTCTATGTCTGCTTCTGTCTCCTTGAACCCCAGTCGGCCTCAGCAGATGGCCGCTCACACTGAGCCTGGTTCTGCTGGAGGTTTCTTACTTTTTAAAGGGAGTTTTTCTCTCCACTGTCACTACAAGCATGCTTAGTGTGAGGGATTGCTGAAGAGTCAATGAGTCGATGCAATCAGCTGGTTTTCCTTAGATAAATCATTCAATTGACTGAAGGATCTGCTGAACTGTAAAGTGCCTTGAGTTGACATGTCAGTTGCTGCTATTAAATAAACGGAACTGAACTGAATTGTTGTTGAGGATTGATCCATTTCAGCCACCGTAGTGCTGGTGAGACGACAGACAATGAAACAGGAGGCGGTTTGTTCTGATTCTTGACATTTTATTGCCATCATGGTGTCTGCAGACAGAGCCTGAGATTGGTTCCTGATACAACAACAACCCAAGACAGACAGGAAACACCGAGGAGCTGCAGCCCAACATCCTGAAGTCCTTCTGTGATGTCATCGATTCAAAGGATGTGATTGGTGCAAAGTTAAGGTGAGGGGGGCGGGACTTTCTGAGAGGAATTTAAAAAATGTTCTGGATTCAGGATCCCCTCCTCAGTCCCAAAACTCCCAAACAACAGAACCAAACAGAACAGATAGTAATAATCAGCTTTATAAGAAACAAACAAAAAACAACAACTTATAATAAAAGTATGACCCTAAATGAATCCAGAAACTCACACACCTCCGTCACATCCACACACACGGGGGGGGGGAGACGGCAGCAGCGGAGCTCCTTTAGCAGCATCCAAAACAACCAAACCTCAGTAAGGACACTTTTAGCTTCAAAATCATCATAACAAGAGATGGGAGATGATGTCATCGCCCAATGGGAGAGGATGTGGGAGGGGCTAAAATATTCTGCACAAACAGCAAAGGAAGAAAAATATAACAGCCAATCAGGGGCTCAAACTGGAAAATAAAAATAACCCAAAACAAAAACTATTTGAAAGCATGAAGGCAGAGGAAACTACGTTTCCCATCAAACCCGGCGGTACGAGCGGATTTTAAGGATTGTCCTTGGATTGGTTGATTCCACGGCAGAAACCAGATGTTCTCTGGACCTTTCAGAACATCTGCTCGCTCCTATTGGTTAGTTCAACCGTCTCCTTAAAAAAAAAACATTTCCTAAAGTCACCCAACAGTCCGATGCTCCCGCCGTCCTCTCCCAGAATGCTTTGCTCTGAGTGGACCCCTCCCTCACAGCTCAGTAACACATTTATCACACCTTCGCTGCCTTCTGTATCTCACTACATCTCCCAGAATTCCCTCCAACCAACCCTACATTCACTGGATTCCTCCTTCCTTTATGCCTCCCGTCATTCTTACTCTCATTTTCCCCATGATTGCTGGTGACATTGAACGCACCGTCAGCTCATTTTATCATCTCCGTTAAAATAAAAACAGATAAACTTCAGATATACACACAGTTCTTTAAACCCATCGAGCTCCACCAAACGTTTCCCCACGAGAAAACATCAAACACTCCTAATGGATGAGGTCACGCCCTGCAGGCACCAACAGGAGGCGCTACAGAGCGGATTCTTTGGTTTGTAGCCGTTGGCTATGCAGAGTTCAGGTGAAGCGGGAAATATCAGCCTCCGGGCCGAAATGTTCACTGTTCATTAATGAGAAGCAGAGTCGCTTTTTAAAAAGGATTAAAACTAAAACGATGATGATGTTAAAAACCTGTTTTCTGATTGGATGACAGCGTTAAGCTCCCATTAGTGCGGTTAAGCTCTCATCTGAAGGAGCGTTTTTTCTGTTGATGAATCATCTTGGCCTGCGGACTCTGCGGCAGCAGCTCATCAAACATCCGGGATGAAAACGTCTGAGAAGAAACTTGGAGGCTGAAGTCGAACACGCAGCAGGTCAGACGACGCGGCTCGCCGCTCCGCTTCCTTCTGAAAAAGTGCTGAAACACACACGCATACACACACTCACACACAGCATGAGGATCCCCCCGTGTCCAGCAGCCAATCAGAGGCCTCCGCGTCACATGACGTTCTCCTTGTTCTTCAGGTCCGGGGCGCTGAACTGCCGCCTCATCCTGGGCGGCGTGGTGAAGCCCCAACCAGCAGGCGGGGGCCCCACCCCCAGGAGCATGTCTGGGACCAGGGGGAGGGGCCCGGAGCGCGGCAGGCTGTGGTAGCTGGGGTGAGGCTGGAATGGTGCATTGTGGGTGTTGTAGTAGGGGTGGGGGTGGAACTGATGGTTCTGGCGCTGATTATAGTAGAAGCCTCCTTCTCTGTCTCTGCTCCCTCCACCCCTCCCTCCCCGGTCGCCGCCCCCACCGGGGGACACCCCCCTCCTTTGTCTGGGTCGCCCCTGGTGACCGCCGTTGCCCCCCCCGCCCTGCTGCGGGTCGCTGTTGTGGGAGGAGCTGTCCAGGGAGTTGCGGCGCTGACGCCTGTGGTAGTTTTGGTTGTTGCCCTGCTGGTTGTGGGGGAAGCCACCCTGGTTGCCTTGGTTACGTTGTTGCCAAGCGCGATGAGGGCTGGGTGTCCGCATGCGTGGCGGCGTGGCAGGGAATGGGAGGGGCAGGAGGGGGGGAGGCGGTCCCTGAGGAGGGGGAAAGCCTCCCCCGTTTTCCTGCTCCACGCCCTCTTCGTCTCCTCCCCCCTCCCCCGCCAATCCGAGGGCCTGCAGGGCCTCGCTGGTGGGTCCCCATGACAACCGGTGGGCGGGGTTACTCTTGAAGGGAAACTTCAGTTTGCACTCCTGGGGAGGGATGAAGCGGCCGGTCCCAGGGAGGTGGAGGGGGACGGTGGGGCCGTTCTGACCTGCAGAGGGAGGAGAAGGAGGCTGAGACTCGTGTTGGATTCTACACGTATGTAGAGAAACGAAGCGCTGCGTGTTTCTGTCCCATTAAACCCTTTAAACATCAGCTTCAGGGAGGAAACCAAACCTCTAGTCTGACTTTAGGCTTAACTTTGACTAGGCCATTCCAGTCCCTGACCCTGCTCTGATCCCACCCATCCATTGGATCTTTATCTGGAGGTTCAGGCTTCCTTATCCCTCAGCATGATTCCACCTCCACCATGCTTCACTGTAGGGATGGTGAGTTCAGGATAAGGTTTTTATATTTAAAATATACCGTAAAGGTTTTGGTCTGGTTTGCTGCGTCTACATGGTTTCAGAAAGTGTATCCAAACTAAATCTGGTCTCTCTTTTATACAGTCTAGATTTGTGGAGCTCATGGCTAACAGTAGGCTCCTCCCACCTGAACGGTGCATCTCTGGTAACTGACGGCTGATTCGCTGATCATTTAGCGTCTGGCTCGCTCAGGTGGTAAGTCCCCCGCCCTGCAAAGGGTAAGCCTGGTTTCATAGTCCAGCTGGGGGGAATGAGCTACCAATGGGGGTCCATACCCTTCGGGGAGTGGTGAGCTAGTGGTTAGGGGCACTGCGCTTGGAGTCAATGCTGAGGTTCTGAGTTCAAGGTATTTAACCCCGACTCAATGGCAGCCCACTGCTCCCCAAGGGGAGGGGTTAAAGCAGAGATAATTTCATTGCTCTGTACTCATAACAGTGGAATGACAATACAAAGCTGTCCATCTTTTTGGACGTTCATGTTCTTGTTGGTCTGAAGGTGATCCATGTTCTCCATGTTCAGATATGGATTGATCAGATTATTCTACAACGTAACGCTGCTTTAGCCTGAACTTGAATTAGAAAATACTTTCATTAACTGAAATAAACTGAATTATAGGATCGAAAATTTATATTTGGTTTCCTTCTTTATCATAAAGCATCAATTTGATGTCAAGTTTCTTTTTTTTCTTGTTGTACCACATAAAGCCAGCAGATGGCACTAGAGCAGTCGGTTCTGGGATTTTATTTCTATTTCTTTTTTTTCTGATCTTGTCTCTGATAAGTGAGTCTTATTACATTAAAGACCAATAAACACTACACTAAAATACGCAATTTCCAGAAATGAAAAATAATCTAAACTAAGTTTATTAAACATTAAAGCTAAAATAGAATTGAAAAATAGAAGTCCAGATAAAAAAATATGTCATTAAATAATTAAAATGATCTCTAAGGCCCTCAGGTTGGATCTGGATCAATGCTGACATCAGACGCATGTTTTAAAGTATCGCATCAACTGGATGAAGGCAAAATTATTTAAATCAACTTTCAAAATATTCCAAAAGAACATTTTTAACCTCAATAGTTTTGTTTGAGTTGTTATGTCATAAAACACCAGAGAAGTTTTAACTTTAACTTAAAATCAGACAAAGGTTTCTGTAGAAGTTTGTCAGATACATTGCCCCCCCCTTATGGACCAACCTGGGTTCTGGTTCTGTCCTCTTAGTTTCTTGGTGATGTTCTGCTTCTGAAGGTTCTGGATTCGCTGCTGTTCCTGTTTCAGCCAGCGGAGGCGCCCTCTCCTGAAGGCTGGGTCCTCCTCCATGAGTCGCTGCACCCTGACCTCCGGAGGGTCGCTGCTCTCTTCCAGGCCACCGCCTCCTCCCTCCCTCTGTGGGGACTCGCCCCCTTCCCCGTTCATGTCGTCATCCTGAAAAAGAGACGCGTCAGAGAGGAGCTACAGGCCGAGGGTCAGGGAGGAGCTACAGGATGAGGGTCAGGGAGGAGCTACAGGCCGAGGGTCAGGGAGGAGCTACAGGCCGAGGGTCAGAGAGGAGCTACAGGCCGAGGGTCAGGGAGGAGCTACAGGATGAGGGTCAGGGAGGAGCTACAGGCCGAGGGTCAGAGAGGAGCTACAGGCCGAGGGTCAGGGAGGAGCTACAGGATGAGGGTCAGGGAGGAGCTACAGGCCGAGGGTCAGGGAGGAGCTACAGGATGAGGGTCAGGGAGGAGCTACGGGCCGAGGGTCAGAGAGGAGCTACAGGATGAGGGTCAGGGAGGAGCTACAGGCCGAGGGTCAGGGAGGAGCTACAGGCCGAGGGTCAGGGAGGAGCTACAGGCCGAGGGTCAGGGAGGAGCTACAGGATGAGGGTCAAGGAGGAGCTACAGGCCGAGGGTCAGGGAGGAGCTACAGGATGAGGGTCAGGGAGGAGCTACAGGCCGAGGGTCAGGGAGGAGCTACAGGCCGAGGGTCAGGGAGGAGCTACAGGCCGAGGGTCAGGGAGGAGCTACAGGCCGAGGGTCAGAGAGGAGCTACAGGATGAGGGTCAGGGAGGAGCTACGGGCCGAGGGTCAGAGAGGAGCTACAGGATGAGGGTCAGGGAGGAGCTACAGGCCGAGGGTCAGGGAGGAGCTACAGGCCGAGGGTCAGGGAGGAGCTACAGGCCGAGGGTCAGGGAGGAGCTACAGGATGAGGGTCAAGGAGGAGCTACAGGCCGAGGGTCAGGGAGGAGCTACAGGATGAGGGTCAGGGAGGAGCTACAGGCCGAGGGTCAGAGAGGAGCTACAGGCCGAGGGTCAGGGAGGAGCTACAGGATGAGGGTCAGGGAGGAGCTACAGGATGAGGGTCAGGGAGGAGCTACAGGCCGAGGGTCAGGGAGGAGCTACAGGCCGAGGGGCAGGGAGGAGCTACAGGATGAGGGTCAGGGAGGAGCTACAGGCCGAGGGTCAGAGAGGAGCTACGGGCCGAGGGGCAGGGAGGAGCTACAGGCCGAGGGGCAGGGAGGAGCTACAGGCCGAGGGTCAGGGAGGAGCTACAGGCCGAGGGTCAGGGAGGAGCTACAGGATGAGGGTCAGGGAGGAGCTACAGGCCGAGGGTCAGGGAGGAGCTACAGGATGAGGGTCAGGGAGGAGCTACAGGCCGAGGGTCAGGGAGGAGCTACGGTCCGAGGGTCAGGGAGGAGCTACAGGATGAGGGTCAAGGAGGAGCTACAGGCCGAGGGTCAGGGAGGAGCTACAGGCCGAGGGTCAGAGAGGAGCTACAGGATGAGGGTCAGAGAGGAGCTACAGGCCGAGGGTCAGGGAGGAGCTACAGGCCGAGGGGCAGGGAGGAGCTACAGGATGAGGGTCAGAGAGGAGCTACAGGCCGAGGGTCAGGGAGGAGCTACAGGCCGAGGGGCAGGGAGGAGCTACAGGCCGAGGGTCAGGGAGGAGCTACAGGCCGAGGGTCAGGGAGGAGCTACAGGCCGAGGGTCAGAGAGGAGCTACAGGCCGAGGGTCAGGGAGGAGCTACAGGCCGAGGGTCAGGGAGGAGCTACAGGATGAGGGTCAGAGAGGAGCTACAGGCCGAGGGTCAGGGAGGAGCTACAGGCCGAGGGTCAGAGAGGAGCTACAGGATGAGGGTCAGAGAGGAGCTACAGGCCGAGGGTCAGGGAGGAGCTACAGGCCGAGGGGCAGGGAGGAGCTACAGGCCGAGGGTCAGGGAGGAGCTACAGGCCGAGGGTCAGGGAGGAGCTACAGGATGAGGGTCAGGGAGGAGCTACAGGCCGAGGGTCAGAGAGGAGCTACGGGCTGAGGGGCAGGGAGGAGCAGAGACCAACCTGAACAGGAATGACGCTCTCCATCTTGATCATCCTGTCCCTCAGAGCTTTGATCTCCTCGTCCTTCATGTTGTTCTGCAGCTTCACCTCCTGCAGGATCACAGAGGTTCTCCATCAGCTCCTGTTCTCCATCAGCTCCTGTTCTCCATCAGCTCCTGTTCTCCATCAGGAGGTTCTCCAGGTAGAACTTACCTCCAGGATGTCCGTCAGCTTGTCGATGTGAGCCTTCAGGTCGTACACCTTCCCCTTCTGTCCTCCTTCCACCACCTCCCCTCCTCCTCCGCCGCCCTCCTCTGCGGGGGGGCTCCTCTCCTCTCCAATGCCCACCGTGTCGCAGACGTCCTGGGCCACGGCCCTCCAGCTGTCCTTCTCGTTGGCGTCCTTCTTGGCGTACATGCGGCAGAGCTCCTTCATCTTGACGATGGACAGCGCCTCGATCTCCTGTCGGGAATGACGGAAGTCTCCCAGCGCCACCTGTGGGGGGACAGAAACCCGCTCAGTCGACGGACATCATGAGGGGCGGTTCTGACCGGGGTGTGCCGGGGGGTCTGGACCTCGTAGCAGATCTCCTTGACGGCCTGCATCCTCAGGTCCTCCATGGTGACCCGTTTGGGGTCTTTGCTGATCCTCCTCCTCTGGGGGATCTGGTAGACCCGCAGCGGCTCCCTCCTCTTCCCGCTGCTGGGGAGGCCGCAGCGCTTCACGATGGTCTGCACCTGGACAGACAGACAGACAGCTGTTAGGTGTTTCCTGCTGGAACCGGATCATTACGCTGAGAAAGACCACAGGATGCACTGATGAAGGCCCCCCCTTTGACATCAGCTGATTGAGCGAGAGCACGCAGCATACCCATGTGTGATCAATCACGATAAGGTGAGACCAACTTCCTGGTTTGTGCAGAAGGACCGCAGTGCGAAATAAAAAGTCTGCCGTTCTATTGGTGCAGCTCAGAGAGCTGTATGACGTTTATATCACCAAAGCGAAGAACCGAACAGACAGCCGGTAATCTGGCGTTTAATCCTTGTTACGAATGCGAGGTATGTGCTGCACTGACGACGCTTTGAGACGTGGGGGAAATAATTCAACATTTTTAATGCATTTTTAGGATAATTAAAAAGTAGTTTGTCTTAACTTAAAGACAATAGTCTATTTTCATAAATATATTTAATGATCCATTTCTCAGAACTGACTCTTACAAACAAGGTGCATTATAGTAAATGTTTTTGTTTGGTTTTGTCCTTTAAGGTTTTTCACCGATTATTTCACTGATTATTAATGATTAACAGTAAATAACACAAATAAAAGGAAAAGATGGAGTCTGATAATTGAGTGGAACCAGTTTAATGTTCAGCTTGGTGCAACCCTAGCCTGGTGAGACCATCCTGATCTCACGAGCTTTCAAGGTTTCACTCTCTAATCAGTCTGGAGACTCTCCGTTGAAGAAAATTTGGAGCCGTTCACCAAACGAACGTCCAATCAGCATTGGCTTTGAGGCGGGTTGAGGTGTGACGCAACGAGAAGCGCGACAGTTCAGTCTAAAGAACATGGCGGCTTCAGCCGATGAAACTAGCGTTAGCGTGGCTATCGAGAAAGTTTTATGGGAATTACAGAGTATTTCTTCACTGAAAGAAGAGCAAAACACTGCTCTGGAGGCTTTTCTCAGAGGAAAAGATGTTTTTGCTCTTCTCCCGACTGGTTTCATCAAGAGTTTGATCTATCAATTGGCTCGTCTTCGTCGTCGCTCTGTTAGTACGTCATATGCTTCGTTGATCTGATTGGTTTATTTGGCCCGTCTATCACCAACATAGGCCAATCAGCTAACCAGTATTTTCACCCCTTCCCAAAATTACTTCAATGGAAGGTTTCCAGATGGATATGCGGAGCAAATCCATCTGGCTGAGTCAGGTAAGTGCAACCCTCCCAGTGAGGGAATAACACAGGAAAGAAGATGACACATACCTTGTTGGCAGGAAGTTTCTCCCTCAGGGAGGAGATCAGCCTCCAGCTCTCTTCACAGGACCGTTTGTCGGAGTCGTCTCCGCTGTCGCTGTCTGCGTACTGAACACAGAACCAGAGTCACAACCTGGACCCGCTCAACTGGGCCACAGTTCTGAAGGTCAACCTATCCTGGGTTATTCTGCTAAGCGATAGTCAGGATTTTCAGATTCAGAGCAGCGAACTGGTCTGAGCCCAGAATAACAGGCAGACCTGATCAATGGAGCACAGAGCAACAGAGCTCACTAACCGAACGTCAAATAATGATGAGGGAATCTGGAGATAACAACAAATTAAATAATCCTAAAGAGAACTTTATCACAATATAAAAGAAATATGTAGGTTATTTGACCGTTTTTGATCATTTGTTCCATATTTTTAACATTTGCAATTTTTACCAAGTAATGTTAAAGAAAAAAGTCGCTCATATTCAGAATTCAAACTTCTGAAAGTTCTTTAAATGTGAAATGATTCCATCCTGTTCAATAAATGATCAGTGTTTTTAATTCAGAGTAATTTCCATGTGAATGTGCTTTACTGGAGGCATCCATGTTTGTCAAAGAACACTACTGCCACCTACTGGTTAGTGACGTCACGGTGCGGTATCGGCTGTTGATCAAGTCCCAGTGCTGTATCTGGTGTTTGTCACAACGCGCTATTATCCAAGTCATCTTGAAAACATTCTTCTTCCAAATGTTGGCTACATATTACGGGTTTTTTCTCTGGCCAGAAGTTCGATGGCAAATCCTCCCTCTTCAAGTTGGCGATCCAACGACCAACCCGTCCGTGGAGGATCAGGAATCAGAAAGGTGGAATAACTCTTATTTTTCACTTTTACCCGATGTATTCCAGCATCCAGCTGCCATGCACGTGGGCATTGTCAGTTTCACTATAGCTCTGGTGAATTTCAATGGTGAAGTCCTCTGGAAATCTTCAATAATTGTTGTTGATTGCAGATGTGTCTAGTAGTTCCCATTGATTTAGCTTGGAAAGCGGGGAGAATGGCGCTAGGCTTACCGCACCGCGACGTCACTGCTGGAAGATGGCAGGAGGGAGGGGCTACTATATACGTATATATATATATATATATTTTTTTTTTTTATTCCTAATGCACCTTCTTCCTCCTTGTTTGCACCTTCTTTAATACTATGCCAATATGTGACCAATGAATTTCTCCGCTCATCTAATCTAATCTACACTGGAAAAACGATCTAGAAATTAGTTAACATTTCCTAAATTTAGTGCATTTACCCTTAATTTGAGCAGGTAAGTTAGATAGTTTGCCAATGGAATGAATATTTTTACTCTTATAATAAGATAATTAGACAAAATGCACTTAAAATAAGACAATGCAATTATCTTTTCTTATTTTAAATGTAAATCATCTTGTTCCATTGGCTAAATTTCTCTTTCCTCCTCGATCCATGAACAAATGCACTTATTTTAAGAAATAAATGACTTATCTAGGTTAATTTTTTTCCCAGTGTAATCTAATATTTGGGCAAAAATGGCCGCTCCCAGACTCAGTGATTGGCACGAAAATTATTGTTTTTATTTCTTTTACTGATTAACACTAAATTCATTAAATCACTGTGAACGTATTAGTTTTAGCTATTAATAATAATCTATTGATTATTCCTCGCTGAAAACTTCTCCTTCAATATCAGCTCAGGTTGGCTTTACGTTTACCTTTGTGTAGAAAAATTACCTTCCTGTTTAGCATTTAGAGGAAATGTATATATAGTTTTTAAACCTGTTCATTTTCTTTTTTTATTGTAAAACTAAATTTATATCATCATGTTTTTTAAATATATCTATATTTCATAGATAATTAATTTTGGGGTTAAATTCCTGTTTTTTCAGGCGTCTATCTCTCTTCTGTATTGTATCCTTAGAAGATTCTCAGAATAACAGGTTAAACTTTGCTGCAGAATAAAGACAGTTCATGCAGATTATCAGCGGAGCAGAGGGATTAGATCCAGAATTAAAAGTTTTATCCTGAACATAATAAATGAAAAACATGCAGCTGATGTTAACGTTTCAGTCCTTAAAGGGAAACAGGAAGACAGAGAAACAGCCTGAATAAAGAAGCATTTCCATGTCTTCTTTGGTTTTTGATGCTTTTTGGGTTTTCCTAAATTAACTGAATAAATAAAACAATCCTATTAAAACTTTTCTGCCTGAGATCAAACTGAACAGAACCTGAACTGTTAAACAGTTAAAGGAGCACTGGATTTAAACCAGCATCTCCCAGACGGCAGGTAGAGACAGTTAGCATCATGAATCCATGGAGATCCATCGGATCTGAGATGCTTTCATCCCTGACAGCCTGACCTCAGCATAAAACTGCATCCAATCAGGTGGAGAATAATGAGCATCAGCCTTTCAGAGGCTGTTCTGGTGGCTGGATGTTGTGAACCTGAGGATCCAGGAGATCGAACCCAGAGACCCACCAGCCGGTGCTGCTCCAGCAGGAGGTCGGCCTCCTCCTTCTCCTTCCGGTACTGCGTCTCCACATCCTGCAGCCTGCAGCAGACCAGGCGTCATCATGCAGCTCCGATAACAGCTTTTTAGAAATGATGGAAGCGTTTCCTCCTCCTACCTCTTCTCCATCTCCAGCTTGATGTCGATTCCTTGCTTCTCCAGCAGCTCCTTCTGGGCGTAGTTCCAGTCCTCCGGCTCCCCCTGCTGCTCCGCCGTGGCGCTGCGCTCCCGCGCCAGCCTGGCCTGCTCCGGGTGGTTGAACCGGAACACGTGGTTCTTCCCCATCACGATGCGGTTACCTAGGTGACCAGAGGCGGAGCGGTCAGGCCGAGGCTGGCAGTGAACATCTAGACCCGGTTTAACTTTTAATAAGCGGACCTTGCTTCAGGATGACGGCCTCCTCGATCTGCTTCCCGTTCACGTAGGTCTCAGCTCCAGGCAGCGGCTCCAGGGTGACCTCCACTGCAGAGAGAAGAAGAAGAAGAAACATGACTAACCTTCAGACTCAGGGCCAGAACCACAGAAGCTTTGTAAGGTTTAACTGAAGAATAGAAAAGGACAATCATTTGGTTTTTCTACGGCGATCTGAAACAGATCTTTCAGACTTTCTGTTACTATTCATCATTTAAAAATCATCAGCAGCTTCCCTCTAATCGTTATAAAGCAGACAGACTGGGCGGTTTGGAGCAGAAGCAGCAGAGACACGAAGGGGAGACAACAGAGACAGCGGGGAGGAAGAGGAGGAGCAGGGATGAAGGGTACAAAGGTCACATTTTATCAGCGTTAGACGATACCTGACAGGATTCCAGGCAGCTTTGACAGAAAGAGAAGAAGAGATTCACTGAGTGAGCGTAGACATACAACAACCCAACCTCCGTTACACCAGGGGGTCCCGGCATGGAGGAGGGTCAGAGGGTGGCAGGAATGAAATGACAGATTTCTGATAATTCAACTGGAAACATGATCTTATTTATTAATTTACCAAAAATATTCCCAGAATAAAGTTTTCTGAGCTTCTATTTAAAGGAAGATGCTCTAAATAAGAGGATCAATGAATAAAGATTATTATGCTGCTATTCTGAGCTGATTGGCAAAACTGAAACTTTTCTTAAATTGAGGAGGTAAGTTAAACACTTTGCCAATGAAACAAAACTATTAATATTAAAAGAAAAATTGCATTGTTGTATTAAAGGTGCATTTTATCTAATTATCTTATTTTAAGAGTAAAAATACTTGTTCCATCTGCAAATCATCTTCTTTACCTGCTGAAATGAACGGTCAATACAATTAATTTAAGACATTCCACTTATTTCTAGGTGTTTTTTGCAGTCTATGAACATCAGTGTTGGGAGGAACAGTGTCCCATGATAATAATTAAAATGCTCACTAACTGATTACTTTTCCCATAATGAGATGACTGCTCTCTAATGCAGCACATGAATACAACTCCAGCCCTGATTCACACTATTTATTCACACATTTTACTGCAGGCAGGAGCACGGACACATGACACCGATTGGCTGAGGAGCCTTAATGTGGGCGGGGCCTCGGCCACTGATTTAGTGACAGCGGAGCTTCAGTAAAGCATCACTGAAGGAGAAATGTTGCTGTGATTTGCTCATTATGTGTAGGAACAAAGGCTGCGTCCAAATGTCCGCACTAACCGCCACATAGGGCTCTATATACTGGTTGCTCACTTTTAAATGAGTGTCCGAACATCTAGTGGATGAAAAAGTAGTAGAATTTCCCACAATGCACCTTGAAAAGTAGAGATCATCGATGTAACTAGAGGAACAAATATATCCCAGAATGCTTTGTGAGAGCTCTCCTCACAAAGCATCATGGGATTTGTCTGCCTGACAGAGCAGCATGTCTGCTGCTAGTACCAGGCTGCTCCTTTCAGACTCATCTACTGATGGCAGTTTAGCAGAGCACCTGGCAGAGTTTGATCAACTAATAAAGGAAGAATGGAACAGAAAAAAAACTCACGTTTTCATGCAAACTGTTCCCACCGGGACTAAACAAACAAGTGTGTACGTCAGTCACGTCCACTTAAGATTTAAAGCCACACATGGAGTTAAAGCATCCAAGCTTTCTGGGGAAATATCTGCTACTGAATGAGGAACGGATGAAATCTTTTTGATTCAGATCTTTTCAGCAGAACCTGAATGTTCCTGAATGTTCCTGAATGTTCCTGAAGTTCTGAGTCATTCGGTTAAATAAATAAACCTGGACTGTTCAGGATTTTCCATTTCTTTCTATATATCATGATCACACATTTAAAGGGGAAATATGAGCTTCTATTGTGGAGGATGGCGGCTTCATTTACCAAATAAACTTTAATTAGTTCATTTAGAGGTTTGGGAACTTGGTTAATAAAAAAAAAGGGAACTATGACCATGAGCTAGTTCATTTCCATCTGTGGGAACTAAACTTTTAGCTAGTTTATTTAAATAATGATCTGGCACAAAATTGAGTATAAGAAAGAATGACGGGGAAGATAACTTGGCTCTGATCGGCCATGGAGAGTTTGGTTCATTTACAAACCAAATAATTATATTGTCATTCAGTTGTCCAATCTCACACAGCAACATGGAGCAGATTAGCATCAAGTAATTACAGACAATCCTTTAAAGAAATAATGAATTAATAAGAAAAACATTAGATTTCATAATCAAACCTCTAGTTGGATCTAAAGTTTTCATAACAGCTAAATGAAAAATCTTCCAGTTTAGATCATAACAGAAAGAAATGGAACTTTATTGATCTCACATTGGAGGAATTCCCTCTCTGCATTTAACCCCTCCCCTTGGGGAGCAGTGGGGGTTAAGGGTCTGGCTCAGGGACCCAGAGGGGAGGCTGAGGTGATCAGCATAAGCACTGCTCTAACCTCCAGGCACACTAGTTACTTTGGTTGTGTGTTAACTCCGTTACTAACTAGTTACTTTTTTGAGAGGTAACTAGTACCTGTAACTAACTAGTTACCTTGTTAATTGATGAACCAACACTGATGAACATAAATCAACATTATTGGACGCGTGGTTCTCTGACATCATCATCATGCATTCAGGTGAACGTTGGCCGTCTGACCAGCAGAGGGCGCCACTGCAGCGGCTAACATCCCCCCAGATAAGCTGAGCAACGAGGCGGGTCTCACCTTCTCCCTGCTCGTTGGTCTCACAGACAAAGACGCAGTGGATCTCTTTGATGAATTGACCTGAAAGTTTGATGTCCACGTCCTGCTGTCCAACCCTGAGACACAGGAGGACAGTCAGTCGCCATGGTTACCTATCATCAGAGGGGCGTTAGAGGAGCTGCTCTGACCTGGTGATGCCCTCCTTGATGTAGTAGAGGAGACACTCGGACATTAGAGGGTCTTCGTTCAGGTTCACCAGGTGGGGCGTCTGAAACACAGTGGGAGGGGGGGGGGGGGGGTCATCATGGACCAGTTCTGAACGTTCTCACGGTACCAGACGGATAGACTCACTCCTTTAGGGGAGAAAACTCCCAGAGTTCCTCCATCTTCCTTTATGGACACGCCCATCTCTGCCAGCAGCGACTCTCTGCCACAAACACACACTTTCTGTTAGAAAGAGACGGAACGACGAGGCGTGCTGCCAGGCGGGCGGCGAGGCGTACCGCTCCAGACGGATGGACTCGGTCTTCCTCAGCTTCTCCTCCCACGTCTCGTTCAGCTCGGCGATGATTTTCTCCGTTTCCTGAAACAGAAGCCGGGATCCTTCAGGTCTGCGTAGCTCCAGACGTTCTGCAGAGCTGCCAATCAAACACCTACCACCAGCCTCTCGGCGACCTCCTCTTTGCTGATGGTTTCCGTAGCGACCGCCTCCTCAGCATCCTCTCCGTTCTGGGTGAGGTGGGCAGGGTCAGCTGGTGCGTCTCCTGCAGGACAAGCTTCAGCCTCTGCGGGGCGGGGGGGGGGGGGGGGGGGGGGGGAGAAAATCATCTGAAGCAGAGAGAAACTAGAAGAAATGTGAGGCTAGCTGGGGGTTAGCTACCTGCAGGGGCGGAGTCTTCTTTAGGTGAAACCCCATTGGCTGTGGGGGTGAGCTGCAGAGGGGCGGGGGCTGCACCTGTGGGCCCCCCGGGGATGTTGTTGTTGACTTTAGAGACAAACAGAGAGAAAACAGGGGTCGGGTTTCTCCTGTAAGTGGCTGGAACGACAGGAATCCTGCTTATGTACAGAACAGCATGTGACACACACACACACACACACACACACACACACCCGTCTGGAAATAACTGCTGCTCTCGCTGCCAGGAGAACAAACACAATCAGCAGCAGAACATCTGAAATATTCCAGATATTTATCTGCAGATATCACAGCTTCTTCCTCCGCTGAACTCTAACAGAACCGTCAGAACCGCTTCGGTTCTACAGATCAACCACAGTTTGGACCAAATGTTCCTTAAACAATATATATACATATATATTTTTCTTCAACCTTTATTTAACCAGAGATTAAAAACCTCTTTTTAAGGAAATCGGTGTCATAAGGCAGCAAAGTTCCATGATAAACAGAGAAACGTTAAATTAAATGATGTAAAAAACCTGCCAAGTAAAACAATTACAGATAATTAAGGCTGCTTCAAATTCTTTCACTTTCAACCTAAAAGTATTTAAGGATTAAAACTTAGCCAACTTCCACTTTCTTTGTAAAAAATTCCTTGAACAAGGAGCTGCGTCACTAAAGGCTGTCTTCCTTTGTTCTGTGCCGGCAAAAAGAACAGTGAGCTACAGCTGATAGAAAACCTGAACCTCATCTGGACCCATTTAGGAGACGTTTCCCTCATAATGTTTTATTTTAAGGTGGAATAAACTGCTAGAAATGACTCATCAAACCTCCTGCTGTCTCTTTATCTGATGGTTAATCTGCAGATGGACCGTTCCGATGCTGCGGCCCAGAAAGACCGGCTCTGACGGCTACAGGGGGATCTGGATCTGCCCGATCAGCAGCAGCGGAGCGGCTCTAATTCCTCAGGGTTGAGTCAAACGTCTACATTCCAGCTGTTAGGCTGAGATTCTCATTGTTTTCCTGCATGTGGGGAAGAACCTGCTGCTGTGAACAAACTCTGCTTTGTTTGGTTTTCATCGTCTCCTCGGGTCGTTCAGCCCGAACCGGGACAGCAAACGGACCGAACGCTGACTGGACCAGGATCTAATGAACGATTCTGATGTTTAGGAGAGTAGAACAGGACAGGGGCGCCTCCTGGTGGTGCAGAGGGGTAACGGCTGGTCTTTGATTCATGAGAATCAGGTTCGACTCTCGGCTTTGTCAAAAAGAGCGTCTGTAAAACCTCTTCCTGAACTGATTGAAATTAATACATTATTTTAACCAAGAACTAGCAGAGCTAAAAGCAGCATGAGGGCCGATAACTCGGTGCGTCTCAGTACCGGTGTTATCCAGCAGCTCCTGCAGACCCTGGGAGAAGAGCAGGTTCCTCAGTCGGTCCACCTCGGACTTCAGCTCTCGGATGAGTTTGGCGTTGGGATCCTCGTTGATCACGGCGTTGCAGCGGATCTGCTTGGCCCGGTCGGCGTACCTGGAAGCGAACAGGACTGTTTGAGCTAGCGCCATCTGGGGGCACGGATCAGAGCAGGTGCGGCAATGTGCTCTCTGACCTCAGGGTACTCAGGGTTTCCTCATAGTTGATGTCAGCAGGACTTAGAGCAGCGATCATGGCCGTCCGAGAGTTTCCTCCTGAGATACAGACGGTAAAACTTTAACTCAATAAAAACGGCAGCGTTCTGTTTATCATTAGCATTAATAACTACAGCTTAAAAAAACAACCCTGCAGGAGAGCGCTCCTGCTATGGAGCCGTTAAACCACCTCATTTGATTAAACTATCGACTCACAGAGAGTTCAGATGCAAAGTCACTGAGAATGAATCTGACAGACGGATGCAGCAGGCTGGCTGAATTGGTTTAAATCTCTGAATGATCCTCAGTGGTTCCCTCACAGTCTGGGCTGCAGGTCTAACATCAGGCTATGATCCTTCACATGTTGGACGGAGCCTGAGCTCAGGTACAACCTGACTGCATCAGAAGGACCTAAACCTGATGTGATGGAGGAGTCCTGTTGGGTTTGGAGGAAAGTCGTCTCACTCCTACCATCCTCCAGGCATTACCTGCATACACCTGTCACATCATGCTGGGTGAATTAACCCAGGACCCACTGATGGATCCTAATACCTGACGGCAGGCAGGGTTTGTACCGCTCTGTGTGTCCCTGCCTGGATATGCACCCACAGACCAAGGCTGATGACAGCATCAGACCTTTTCAAACCTCCCAGTTTTATCTGGGAAATGCTAGTCCAGCTCCATAGCTGGATTCATATAAGGTCCCTATGTTGACGGGGCAGTGAGCACAGGGATGACTAGAAGGTGTGAGACCCTCTGGTCACCTTCATGAAGTCTGAAGTCTGAAACCTGAAGAACCTTTAGGTAATGCTAGCAGCCGGCTGATGCTCCATTTGTAGAGGTCTGAAGCATCTATTTACTTCCTCCTTGCAGGAGATCTCAGACTACCCTGCCCCAAAAGTCCCTCTATGAATGGAAAAAAAAAGCACCATGGCTCCAGAAATAACTCCAATCTAAATAAAGTCAAAATTAAAAATAAATTCCATTAATTATGTTCACAACTCCTGGAAACTCTTCCAAACTCATCAGACTATGTTTAAATATGCTGCAAACCTTCCAGCGATGGTACAAATGGACATGACACCCTGATGGAGCGGAACTGACTCACCCTGTCTGCTTTTAAGGCTAGGCTTAAAACTTTCCTTTTTGATAAAGCTTCTAGTTAGAGTGGCTCAGGTTATCCTGATCTATCTCTATAGTTCTGCTGCTATAGGCTTAGACTGCTGGAGGACATAGGGACCCCTTTTTCATCATTCTGCTTCATTCTATCTCTATTCTCCTATTCTGCAGAATCTGTTAGTTCAATCTCTAACGTTCTGCTCTCTCTGCTTTTTCTCATAGTAGCTTCATCTGGTCTGTTCCTGTTTGGCTGTGACTCCATCCTGGAGAGAAATATCAGCTGTGCTGCTGCCATCAACACCTTTGTTTCTAGATGTTGGAGCTTGTCCTGTTTTCCAGTGTAGTCCTGTTTCTCTGACTGTGACTAACTGGATGTGCTCTCTTCATCCTCTGACATGGGAGCTGGCTCGGAGCTCGTCTGCCTGGCTGTGTGTTTCCTGGACGGGGCCGCCTGTGGAGCTGGTTGACAGTTGCTTTTTGTATCTATGCTTCTTTTTCTATCTCTGTCTCCTTGAACCCCAGTGGGCCTCAGCAGATGGCCGCTCACACTGAGCCTGGTTCTGCTGGAGGTTTCTTCCTGTTCAAAGGGAGTTTTTCCTCTCCACTGTCGCTACAAGCATGCTTAGTGTGAGGGATTGCTGAAGAGTCAATGAGTCGATGCAATCAGCTGGTTTTCCTTAGATAGAAAACTTTGAATCAATCTGACTGGATGATCTGGTTGACTCGTTTCTATAAAGTTAAGATGACATGTGTTGGGAAATTATGTTATAGAAAAGAATTGAATTTAGTATCTCCTCATGGAACAACTAGTGAAAATGACCCCATTTGCAAGCAAAACAACCAATAAGAAACACCAACTGCTAAACCATTAACACTTTTACGGGAGCTGTCTCATTGTTGCTCATATGGCAATAAAAACTTTCTACTACTGAAAGAACCAGATCAGTATTCTAGAAGATCACCTGACAATATTATACTTGGATTAGAAGGGGCAAAGAACATTAAATAAATCTCCTTGCTTAAATGAAATGAGAAATACTCCTTATATGCAGATGACACAGTCCTCTCTGCTATCAACCAGTCTTCCTAGTTTAGTTAATGTGGTTTGGTTAGTATCCATGAGTGAACTCCCAGTGACCCTCCTCACCCAGGTTCTCCTTCAGCAGCCAGGTAAGAACCGAGTCTCTGTAGGGAATAAAGTCACTTTTCCTCTTCTTGTTGCTTTGCTGCAGGTAACAGAGAGAATGCTGCGATTACTCACTGTTAAAACACCAATCTGATGCTTTTTAATGAATGAAGTACCATTTCAGCCAACGCTGAGATCACTTTTCCTAATGTGGTCAGGGATTTGTTGATGTTTGCTCCTTCCTGCATGGAAACCACAGCAAACATGAGCAAACAAAAATAGCCATGACTTCAACAGCAAGGCTGTGGCACATGCGTGACTTCTGACCTTGAGTCGGGTGCCCTTTGCCCCTGAAGAGTCTGCCCGCTCGCTCCCAGCCAGGTCCACCAGACTGATCTTACTGACCTGCAGAGACAGAGGAAGCTGAACTCATCCATGCAACTGGAAACAATGAAGACTGAGGACTTAAACGGCAGAAACGAAACCTTCTCGGTGTCCAGGCTGGTCATCTGATCTCTCCGTTTCTGGGTGAAGACAATGGTGAAGACAGCATGCGATCTGGACGACGTCTCGTTCATGTTTGTAGCTGCAACCGTCCTGCATTCAGTAAATAAAATCCATTAAACAAATTAATTCCTGGCAAGAGGTGGTTTCATCGTATCACGCTTTTAGAAATGAAAGTAAAGATTGTTGCTTTGTCATGTCTGGGAATTCTGGGAATAAATGATTATGATGTTTATCTCATCATCTGCTTTCATTCCTTCACTTCAGAACCAAACTCATTCCAAGTCATGAAGGAAAATAATTTTAGACTTAAAGTCTCCAAAGGCTTTAAGAAGCAAAGTAGTAACTGGGTGCTGCTGATTAACTGGTTATGTCCAGCATGACTAAGAGAGAGAAGAAATCCCAAATAGAGAACATGTCAGGCAGCTTCTAACATCTTGGCAGATACAGTCCAAGGTGGGAGAATGCAGTGCTCAGAGAAATAAGCAGAAACACTCCATAGATGTCAATCAGAGCAGTGGAGGTGTAGAAATCTAGAATTCTCTTCTTTTTTTTTACATCAGGACCCGGCCACCCTATGGACGCTGATTGGACCATGACCTCCGCTATATCTAAGGTATTCCTGAGTCACACATGATTCCATCAATTCAACTTCTGAAGCCTGGGTCAAACTAGGTCAACAACAAAACAATGATCCTCAAAGAGCAGCAGAATAATCAACAGTCCAGCCAAAGTCCAGACTTCAGCTGAATTTAAGAAGAGAGAATTCTCTAGAAACAACACTAAACATCAATGAGCTGAAGTGATGTTGGGAAGAAGAGCAGACCATAGTTCGTCCAGAACGACGAGAGACTTGCAAAGTCAGACAGAGGTTCTGAAAGCTTGGTGGACTTCTCTGGATGACTTCTACAATGTGAAAACTGTTGTTACACTAAATAACATGTCCTTTTGTTCCTCCAAATATGTCCTCACCCAAAAATAAGGGGGTTTTCTCCAACTTCCTCTGTTAGGGACAGTTTAGGACTATTCTCTGGCCATTCCTAAAGCCATCTCCTCCACAAGAAAGACTTATAGGAGGAATTCTTAATTGATTGTCCTTTGTCTTAGTGAAAAAAGTGTTGATGTCCAGGGAATAGAGGTTTTTATGAAGCCACAGCAGGACTAGTGGTTTGACCATCCAGACCCAGGGGGTCTTTCAGTCTGAAACTCAGGAATTGACTGTTTTTGGTTGTGACTGACCGAGCTTTGTTGCCTTCGTCCATTAGCTCCCGGATGTCTGTTAATCCAGTCACAGCAAGTTTGGACAGGTCCTCAACGTAGGGCCCGAGGATGGGATGTTCCCGCACCCGTAGAGAACCCTGTGATGTTGGGTTGAGAAGATCCCGAACCCGCTCACAGTAGATCTCCATGTAGGACACCTGGAGGCCAGGGAGAGACCAATCAGAAGCTGTTCAGAGAGACAGGTGGTGAATCAGAGAGGCTGATGTCCTCACCTCCACTGAGTAGTTCAGGTCTGGGTCTGTGTTCTCTCCTGTCCTCTGGAACAGGTCCTCACACAGCTGAGGGCAGAGACGGATTCAGCTGAAGTTACAGTGGATCCACGGATCCCATCAACAGGAAGGACATTATTTACCTGTGGGATGATCCCTTCCTGTCCAGGCTCCTGTCTTCCCATCATGGTGTAGCTTTTTCCTGCTCCAGTCTGACCATAAGCAAATATGCAAACATTGTATCCTGGAAAACAACAAAAACAGTAACCCCATCATTCATGGCTGAAGCTGATCTGGATCTATGGAATCTATGGCTGAGGGACGGCTGTCCTGCAGGCTTTAAGGACAGATGTCCTGCAGGCTTTAAGGACGGATGTCCTGCAGGCTTTAAGGAAGGATGTCCTGCAGGCTTTAAGGAAGGATGTCCTGCAGGCTTTAAGGATGGAACGCTCCTTTTGGGTCGACTCTTCTGGTTGCCTAGAGGCTCTTTCTACAGGCCAGCTACAAGCGATTGAGTATTTACACCAGAGTCTAACAAGTTCAAAGAAGACCACTATCTATCTTTATCTTTCTTCTGAGTCCCTGAGCTCCTTTCATGGCTAAAGTAGGCTATAGTATGAAATGTTTTATTAATTGGGTAGGTCTGAGTGTGTCCTACTTTCTGTAGACGAACTGTCCGTTTCCAAATAGGGAAACCCTGACAGGTTTGCGGTTGTAGCAGTTTATTAGGTGCCCTTCAGATCAATAGCCAGCCCTATCATCTCCAGTTTCCAGTCAAATTCCAGCCGTGTGAGTCTCAGTGTTCAATGCAACCCCGCCCATAGGTATAACATCTAGTTTACACTCTGGCCACCTAGGGCTTTGGCCTCATGGACACGGACCTGTTGGTTACCAATCAAAGACCAATCAAGGAACAGTTAAAGACGCACCATGGAAGCTGGGGAACTTTTAAACTGCTACTACTGTACCTTAGGATTCTGTTTTTTCTTTGTACATTCCCTAAAGTGGATTTTATTGTCTGTCGCTGTCTCTCTCTTCCTGTCCAACTCATGACATTCTTGTCAAATTGCTGTGTAGGTCCGACCAAAACAGACCAGGAGTCTGCCTCGGTCTGGCTGGCCCAAAGTATTTCCAATGAGATGTAATTAGTACCACTTCCTACGTGTTCTGGCCCTTAAGTCATAGCGCTGCACCAATATAGCTGATGCAAATGACCAACCTGCCTCTCTTGCATGTCACCGAGCTCTTGGATTTTGAACAATTCATTAGATTCGGCTGTATTGAACAGGGAAACCTATGTGAAGAATGTTTAACATCGTCCCACCACGGCCCCCCATGCGTCAGAAAGACTTACCTTCAAAGGCGTGCAGCAGCATCTCCTCTCCGATGTCTTTGTAGACTTGCCTCTGAGAGGCAAAGTTCTGATCATCTGGCTGCAGAGACCCAAACACACGCTAATGTTAGTCTTCCTTCTGAGCTATGAATGGTCTCAGAGAGTGTGTGTCATTACCGTTGTGTGTGACCAGTAGGAGTAGTCGAATGTGAAGTTCTTGGCTCCATCTTTGGGCTGTTTGGGGTTTGATATGCCTGAGGGTGCAGACAACATGACAGATGGAGGTCATTAACTGTCGGCGCTGTAGGTGGCAGAGATGGGGGACCTGGAGTCAGTCTCTATGTCATGGATTTGATCTGGACCAGGCGGGTCCAATCTGCACAGGTTAATTCACTGTTGATATTGGACTCAACTTGTTCAGTAGAACTACTTCATGACATAGAGATGACTTTTTGGCTCAAGATCCGCCATCTCTGGTTGGTTTTTTGTTGATGTTGACATCCGTCTGATCTCATGGAGGCAGAGGATCGGCATTTATTGACGCGTCACAACATACTGCTGCTAACCTGCAGGTGGAGCCTGCATGTTATCGCTCCAACATTCCCAGAACAGATGAGCAGCTCCAAGTGGATCCGTGCGGTTCTGAGTGAGTGTGTGTACTCGCAGCTAAAACCGTCCAGCTGCAGTCGGGTCTATTAATAACCTGAGAGAGAGCCGGTTTATTAGAAGCAGGTCAGGAGGTCACATGACCACCTTAAGGGTTCTGTGTCTGCTGCGGTCCGGTTAGCCCTCCACTCGGCCCTATTCATCCAGATGGAAGATCAATGGAAGCCACCAGCTTCAGTCTAACTTCTTCAGCCGTTTCAGGTTATAAACTTTCAATCAATGATTTCCAGACCTTCCAAAAAAATTAACTTTGTTTCCAAGTTTGAAGACGTTTCACTTCCCATCCAGAAAGCTTCTTCCAATTCAAAATGTCAGAAATAGCGTTGATATCGAAGCTTTATAGAGTGGACTAAAAAACAAAGCCGTGTTTTGGCTTAAAAAATATGCAAACTGAAACGAATGAACGGGTCCCCCCCTTAGGAATGGGGGTCTATTGATAGTGAGATGATAGAGGGAAGGAATTAACTAATGTTCCTTCCCGCTATCATCGAAAGCAGGAGAACACAACACCTTACCACCCCTTTAATGACCCCCCTTTCAGAGACATAGACAGGTATTGAGTATTGCAGGCTATCAAGGAAGCCCAACGACCCCCATTCCAAAGGGGTGGACCCGTTCTTCTGTTACAGTTTGCATGTTTTCTTTACAAAAACAAGGTTTTGGGGTTCCAAAATGTTAAAAAACAATCCAGTGGATTTTGTTCTGGACTCTTGATGAATATGTATACGCCCAAAATAAAAAAATACATAGAAAGTTCAGCGTATGCCAGCGTTTTAGGAGATTCTGGGACGTCGGTCAGACGCTGGATAAATCGTCAGGCTGTGACTGGGGCTTTAGAAAGTGGAGAACATCAGCGCAGATCTACAGTCCTTCCTCTAGCTTCTTGTATCTTTAAAATCCTGTTAATCTAGAAATCACTAAAATGCTTAGAACCCAAAACATAACAGACTTGCTATCTGTGTATTTTTCATTTCAACTTTCTCTAATTTTATTTCTTACCTAATCGAGTGGAAACACATTTTTCTCTGTCTGTTTTTTCTGTACTGTTCAGTATTTTGAATTGTCTCGCTTAAATCTGCTGTAGAAATAAATTTCCCTCGGTAAAGAAAATCATCCCCAGGGGATTTTTACCACTTGCCCTTTGGGCAAGTGACTTTCACATTTAATTTGCCCAGAAACAATTTTTACTTGCCCAGTATAATGTTTGATAAATATAGTTCCTAATATTCATTTTTGTATATATATCAATGAAACATGTTTGTTTTTTTAAATGTTTTTAGTAATTCAGTAAGTTTCCAGGTTCCTGGTGTGTATCTGCATGCGTCAGATAATGAACCCAAGCCTACATTACCGTGTTAACATGCTTTTCAATCCTTCCTGCACATTCTTTTCAAACTAAACTTTGCTTTAAACTGTTGTGTGCTTGGAAAAATATAAATTCTAATCTTAAAAATCTAAAAACAACTTGACAGCTTAAAACCTTACACTAATATTACTCACCAATTTAACATTTTAGCTCTATAACATTTAAATGCACCTCTCCAATGTCTAAGAGAAAAAAATTTAATGAACATTTTTTAATGTATGACCGCTGTACAATAGACTGCCATAGGATAGAAATATTTACACTGTGCGCATACAGTTATTATTATTATTTTCCTAATCCCTGACCGATCAGTTTTAATCTAGCGTGTATTATAGTAGAGATTAAATTCATCATCCAGCTGCTGCTCTGCAGAATTCTCTCCCCAAGAGCTGAATCACTAACCTGACTCCGAACCTTCCGTTGAAGTAATTTTGGGAAGGGGCGAAAATACTGGTTAGCTGATTGGCCTATGTTGGTGATAGACGGGCCAAATAAACCAATCAGATCAACGAAGCATATGAAGTACTAACAGAGCGACGACGAAAACACAAGCCAGGCTACTCTTGGCGAAACCAGTCGGGAGAAGAGCAAAAACATCTTTTCCTCTGAGAAAAGCCTCCAGAGCAGTGTTTTGCTCTTCTTTCAGTGAAGAAATACTCTGTAATTCCCATAAAACTTGCTCGATAGCCACGCTAACGCTAGTTTCATCGGCTGAAGCCGCCATGTTCTTTAGACTGAACTGTCGCGCTTCTTGTTGCGTCACACCTCAACCCGCCTCAAAGCCAACGCTGATTGGACGTTCGTTTGGTGAACGGCTCCAAATTTTCTTCAACGGAGAGTCTCCAGACTGATCTGCGAGTGAAACCTTGAAAGCTCGCGAGATCAGGATGGCTACTGAATCACGCCATCTAGCGGAAAATCATGCAGCTTTTTCAATCACGCTAGAATGTGTACAAAACAAAGATGGCGCCGGCAACGCTTGTGGGTCGTTTTCTGTGAATGTCGGTGATTTTAAAGTAATTTTAAGCCACCCTCATGTTTCAACAGGGGTGGGATGTGTGGCTTAAAAATGAAGCCTTGGTTTTGATGAACTGGTTGAACTCGGTTTTATTGAGGAGTTTTAGAAACATGTCACATTTTTAAGGGATTTTTTTTTTATACCAAACATGTTCAGCTAACAAACATTTATAAAATGTATACCGAGGAGATCTTAGCAAAAAGGAACGGTTCTGTTCTTGGGGTTAGGTTAAGGACTAAGGTGTGAGTTTAGGTTTAGGCTCTGGGTTAGGCCTTAGCAGAGAGTGAGAAATGAATGGAAAGTCCCCACAGGTATAGTGAGTGTGTGTGAGTGTGTGTGTTGCTTACAGGTGCTGTTTCCCTGCATCTGGATCACACACTTGGCGTTGCGGCCCAGCTCCCTGGAGTTGAACGGCCGGACTCGCACCGCCACCTTCACGGATGCACCCGCCATCTTTTAGCTCCGCCCACCTCTCCTGGGGACAGCCAATCAGAGAGCACATTCAGGCAGGCAGTAACCATCAGATTTCTCCTCCTCAGCTCGTTTTTTTCCTCCAGCCCCCCTCCTTCCTTGGGTTTACGACCTTTTATTTCCCGCTCCCTTCTTCTCTCCTCCTATTTTTCCAGCCTGAACTTTTCCTCCTCCCACATACTTTTCTTCCCATTTTCTCTGTTTTCGTTCTGCTCCATCTTTTCCTACTTTGTAATTTTATCTGTCGCTATGTTTTCCTCTCCTCTTCCTCTCCTCCTGTCAGGCTTTTGTTCTTTTATCCTGGTTTTATTCTCTTCTTTTCTCCCTCTGTTGCATCTATCCCGTTTCTTCTCTCAGATCATTTTTCCATCTCCACCTTTCCTTACGTCCTTTCCTGTCTTTCTTTCCCTCCTTTCTTCGCTCCTGTTCCCTGAACTCCTCCTTCTCCTCCATGTTTCCATTTTTTTCCCTCTTTACATTCCTGCTTTCTGTTATGTCTCCGTGGAAACGGCCCCAGTCTGGTTTTGGCTCCTTTGTCTCGGTGTCGGTCTCTCTGGTTTATCTGTCCAGCCGGGGATCTTTAACCTCTCTGGGGGGAAACCCAGCCTGTTGACCCAGTAACCGGTTCTGTGTGAAAAGGTTCTGATCGGGGTCACAGGTTACCTAATACTCCAAACAGAAGATGTCTCACTCCTTCATGTTTTAGCATTCCTCCTGCAGTTTAAGGATCTACTCTGAAAGGGTTAGAAGTTGCTGTTTGAAACTGAAATAACAAAAGCCTGTGCAGAGACTCACCAACCAACGATAAACTATAAATTCATTCTTGTCTCCTTAAGAGCAGCTTGTATCTGTCTCTATGATTGGATCAGATCCCTGCATGACTTCTCCCTCTATTTACATCAAAGCCTGTTACAGTGAGAGAGAGCAACGGTTTGACGATGTAACAGGAAGGCTCTGAGTCGCTCTGTGTTGTTTTGTAGTTTTCAGTCAGTTATGGAAGATGTCGGATATAAAAACCAGTGCTACTGCGAGGATCTGCATCCACGGATGGATGGTTTAGCAATATGCTATGCTAACTGCTAATTAGGGGGAGCTAAAATGTGAAAACAATCATATTTTAAGGTTTGGGTTAAACAGTTTTAGAGCAAATACCCCGACACACCCAGTGTGACATCACATCTGCTGCTCGTATGAATAAGAATCAACTGCATAAAACGGTCCCGACAGGACAGTGAGGACGGATATTCCAAAAAACTTTAAAAATAAACCACTGGAATTTGTTTTCATGGTTTGAAAAAATTTCTCTTTCGATTCAGGAAGCTTTTCAGTTCAAAATGTCAGAAATAGCGTTGAGTTCCAAAAACAAAGCCTTGTTTCGGCGGACGAACGGGTCTTCCTAGATGGTAAGAAAAACGTCTTCAAACTTGGAAACAAAGATTTTTTTTTAACGTTTTTGGAAGGACTTTGACCTGGATGAATCTTCACTAGAGTGAGGACGGATGCTTTTGAAGCCTAACATTGTTGTGAACCAGAAAAACAGAAGAACATCAGAAGAACCCGTCAATGAAACATGTTCATCACCATGGTAACAGTGGATCCCTGTAAAATGATTGGGTGAGGAGACGGTTAATGTTTCCTGTAATGCCATGGCGACGCACCCAGGATGCAAAGATACCCAAATGAAGCCGCCAAACCCTGCAGAGTCTGAACCAACCCTCCACCATTTCTTCTTCTTGGGATCGATCCCAGCATGCAACACTGATAACCAGCGCTGCTCTCAGACCCCGCCATGCCGGCCTTCCAGCCTGCTCCATCTAACCCGGTCCTCTGATGTTTGGAGCTTCAGGTGACCTGAGGGAACGTCTGCAGGTGTTTGTTTTGATGTCGGCCCTCTAATCTGGCAGATCCGCATTCTTAGAGGAACTTTAATCTCTTGTGCTTTTGATTTCACTTCCACGGTAGCAGAAGCAGTAAACATGTGACGTGTTTGCATGTTTACTGTCGGTCCACGTGGGCGCAAACACCGAGACACACAGACTCTGATATTTCAATCACTTCTCAGGCTTCTAGAACGGCTGATAGAAGCCTGAGATCCTGCAGAAGCAATCTAGAAATAAGTCAACAGTTCTTAATTCCAGTGTTTTTACCCTAATTTCAGCAGGTAAATAAGATCTTTTACCAATGGAATGAGTATTTTTACTCTTAAAATAAGATAATATGCACTTTAAATAAGACTATGTAAGTCGTTTTTCTTAAAAGTTAATTGTCTTGTTCCATTGGCAAAGTGTCTCCTCAATGCACTTATTTAAAAAAATATGACTAATTTAGATTGACATTTTGTCCTGTGTGGTTTTTAGGAACCCAAACTGTCCATCCAGGGAGCGGCTCATCATATGGAGGCCTGCTGAGGTCAGAGTAAACATTAGCAGGAAGGGATCTGGGTTTGTTCTGGTTCTGGTTCTGGTCTGGATCCTCGGTTCTAAAGGATCCAGCTGGTCGGATCAGCCGCAGATGAGGAGGAACTGCTAATTAAGAGCTCAGCAAAGATGGTCTAAAGCAAAGAGTTTCCACTCTGTCCACATTTCAGTGAACATTATAAACAAAATGAGTTTTCTGTAGTTTGCAGATTTTATTTTGAAAATCCAACCAGGTTTTTTATTTTCCAAGCTTTCTTTCTAATGATTTATTAACCGTTGCTAAACTTTGAGGCTTAAACAAACTGCCAAACAATCACAAACACACTATTTGAAAATAGAAACATATAAATAATAACTTTTGTTTCCTTGCTGCCCCGTTCTATGAAGAAAGTCCAGAAGTTAACTGTAAAAATAAGATAAAATCAGATAAATGTTGGATTTATTAATCTAATCTGTCTTCCTTGCTCTGTTTCAGGTCATCAAACATTTTATATAAAAAGCAGATTAATAATCTGTTCCAGCCATGACATCATCAAACACGTTTGGCGCCATCTTGACTTTTCAGGATGAGTTTCATTCAGATCGGTCGGACCAAGACCTGCTTAAAGCCAGAGGTACAGAACCTGTCTGACAACATGAAGTAGGTTAAACTAGGCCTAAATCTAAAGAATCTCAGGAAATGGTGGGACAATGCAGAGGGCTAAGAGTGGCCTAGTCAAAGGCCGGACATGCATGGATAAATGATGAGACGACCTTCAGCAGGTGGATAAACTATCCAGCTCTGTGGAGCAGAGAAGATCAAACTCCTGCAGCTGTTGCTATAGCGATGGAACAAGCAGTTATGAGGGTTAGGAGCTGTTTGCTTTTCACAGGGGGTCAGGCTGGTCTGGATGGTCCAAATGATCAGAACCATCTCAGAGAGAAAAGCCAACAGCGTTGATCAGTGAGCGTTGAATACATTTCCACTCCCCCCTTTGTTTCAGCAGGACATTAATCAGCGTTACACACGGTTAAACGCTGAGAACCAGAGCAGTAAACGGTACAGAGGACCGACCCGGGGCCAGACTCGGGTCCCCTCGCTGTTTTCTGCTGATGCAGCAGGACCGAGTGTTTGCTCTGTCAACACGGTGCGCGGCCACGGCCAGAACAAACAGACAAGATGGTGGACACAGATACGCCGCTGCATTGTGAGTGTGTGTTTAGGTGAGCGAGCGACAGTCAGAGCTGACTTCATCCTCCAGGCATCCCAGCACACACACACAGACCAACAGGCTCCCTTTGTGGCTCCCAGCAGCTGAGCTGGTCGGCCCAGTCCGACCACTCCAAACATCAGCTGTTCACACTGGAGACGGCAGCTTCCACACCAGCTCCTGCTTGTTGTGGCGGCTTCATTACGGATGCAACGTCAGCCAATCAGATTCCCCAGAGTCAGGAAATACACATGGGGGGGGGGGGGGGGGGGGGGGTACTGCTGGGCTCTTTAAAGACCTGAACACAACCCTGTTCCTGTTTCCTACCTGCTCCCTTTGCACCTAGGAACTGCCCATACCATGACCATACCTCCACCTGCCTGCTGCTATGGATGATTGACGCCAGGCATCATTTTATGATGATGTCATCAGATTCTGACTCCAATTTCTGGATGTTGGCGCTGAATAAGCTAATCATTTCTCCTATTTTTTCAGCTTCCTGTTCTTGGCTGGTGTAACATATCTGCTCATCTAGTGACCATCGGGGATCGCTGCTTTTCAAGGTGCATTGTGGGAAATTTCAAATCCACATTTTCATCCCCTTAGAGCAGAGGTCACCAGTTAAAAATCAGCGGAGTCCGAATAAAGAAAATTATCAACCAGTAAAGGTCTGGAGACATTTTTAATGATCTGTTACTTTAAACAGAATTTAACGCTGAAATAAATGAGGTTTTAATTTTTTTAATGAAAAATAAATAAATAAAAAAAGAAAGTATTTTTTGAAGTAGAGAACTTTTGGTTTCAAATTTAAAACATTTTATTTTAAGTGGCTCAATGCTTTTCTGCTGCATGATGTCTTTGGGTGTCAGTATTAGACCTTTAACAAGATCCCAGCAACCAAACAGGAAACTAAGTAAAAACACGCAAAACTAAATAAAATGCTAAATAAAAAAGGGCTCTTTTTTTATAAAAAAAAAAAATGCACAATGAAAAAAGAAATTGAGCTAAAATCAGTGGAAATACCGTCCAAACATAAGAGCATTAGCAGAGCATCTCCAATCTATTAGCATTGATCTATACCTGCTGGGAATTATAAAGAAGCACAGAAAGTTGTCAAATTGAAAACATTGCCAAGTTTACAGAACGCCTTTAATACCTCTGAACATCCATCGCAGATATTAGAGCATCTAAAAACATTTAAATAAGGTAATAAATGGCGTCTGTGATTTCCCTCCATCTCTTCCTGTTTCTCTCATATGGATCGCCCTTTCTAAATGAGACCAACGCCATCGGCTTCACAGCTGATTGATTGAACATTTTAACTGGTCATTGTCATGCAGAGTTTACAACATTCATCACTTTATAGTCAATGACTCTTTAGGTAGAGGAATAAATTT